ACCGCGAATGAGCACGCAATTAACATCGTCGATGTATGTATATATCGTCGTCAACGTCGTCCTTATTTGCGCACTTGTGTCGCATTTAACCACCTCTGTCTTGTAAAACAGCTTGTGCATTCGCCGCAACTCGAAGTAACCATTACGGCACAATTATTCATAATTGATAGCCGACCGCGATAGCGAGCTATATACGTTTGTTGCTTTTTTTTCCTTTCACTAAGGTGACTTTACATATGCACGCGAAGTCTAATTAAGGGCAAGGAAGGAAGATAACGCACGTGGTAGGAACCTCCTTGTGCAAAGCCGCATATAATTGTTTTCTTCGTCATGCTCTTGGCATAATTTTAAAAAGACTCGCGAATGAAATAATTGTCTTTCGTCTGGTACGACTCGATGAGCTCGGAAGAAGGATGCGAGGTTGGCTCGAGGGGATATTCGCGGCGATTCAGCGTAGTCGTTTCGCCACGATGCTCCCTGCGACCAGGGACGAGACGCGTCTACGCGTCGTTGTTTATATACGCAGTCTACGACGTAGATTGTAGATAGTACGCTCGGGCGTACGCGTACACCGCAACGCTCGCGCGCATTCGTTTATGAATGAAGCGTTCGCATCGCATCTCGCGTCGCGTCGAGTGCGTCGTCTCGCTTCGCCTCGCTCCGCTCCGTCTTGCTTGGCCGACGTCGACTCGACCGCGTTGCTGATTAGTCCCGACGCGGCGCAACGGGACGCTACACCTTCGCTCTGCGACCGAATAATTATCGCAATTCGCCTTAATTAATCATGATTCGACCGGTCGCGCTTCTCGACTCCGAAATGCATCGGAAGTTACTAGACAGATATATAGGTATATATATTGTTATGTCCGTGTCCCGCCCGTTTGACGATACATCCCTGTATTATACGATCGTCAGGATTTTCTATTAGGATCTTCTATCAGGGTCTTCTATCAGGGTCTTCTATCAGGATCTTCTATCGTCGCTAAGAAGCTGTTTATGTCTATCGATGCGTTTTGTTCTGGTCTAGCTGTCGTGCGGTGAGGACGTATCCTCTGACAGCTGATCGGCGGATATATTTGCATTAGGATTAATGCACGTAATATTATATTGTATCGCTACGGTTTATTGGCTTCTAATATTAAAGTTTATTGCTTTACTATGCGAGTGTATTCATTTCCGGCGTGTGAGCGTTTGAGTGCGCGCGACATTTCTTCGAGATAAAAGAAGGGTGGTCGCGGACGTAACAATACAGGGTTTGTCCGGAAAGTAATGCGTCGCATTTTTTTGTGACGCGACTATACATCGCAGAGCGATGGGACCGGTTGGGGAGGAAGGGGGGTACCCTTAGCTTTCCAACGGTAGGTCGCTCAATTGTTTCCATGCGCTTGGAGGGTTAGGACGGCTTATTCTGTGAACCTCTGCTTAGTGGTCGCGTCGAACTTGTGATGGAGAGAACGATAGAGCAACGCTATGCGATAAAGTTTTGCGTGAAGCTGGACAAGACGCCGCTGGAAACTTTTGAAATGCTCAAGAAAGTTTTCGGGGACGATTGCCTTTCCAAATCGCAGTCAAACAGATGGCACAAGATGTTTAGAGAAGGTCGGAAGGAGGTCGCCGACGAGGCCCGCGCAGGACGCCCGTCAACATCGCGAACGGACGACAATGTGACTCGTGTGCGCCAATTATTGAATTCAGACCGTCGAATGAATGTTCGCTTAATGTCGGAATTATTGAACTTGCCGAAAACGATTGTTCACGAGATTGTATCGGAAGACTTGGCCATGCGGAAGATTTGCGCAAAACTTGTGCCCAGAGTGTTGACCGATGCGCAAAAGCAACACCGAGTGGAAGTTTGTGAAGAACTCAAGCAACTCTGTGCAGATAATCCCAATTTCTTTTTTTTATTTCCTCGGCTGAAAAGGGAGCTCAAAGGACAACAGCTCGAGTCGGTTGACAACGTACAAGCTACTTCGACGGCCTCCCTGAACAGCATCCCAGTCAAGGAGTTCCAGAAATCTTATGACGCATGGAAATCGCGTTGGCAAAAATGTATTGACGCAGAAGGGTCATACTTCGAACAATTTTAAGTTGTTTTACCTATGCGATCAATAAATTCTTTTTTAAAAAAATGCGACGCATTACTTTCCGGACAAACCCTGTATATATATAGATCCGTTCGATCGACTGTTTAAATTAGAGCTCACGATTCATCGATCAATATATGGTTTCAATTAACCGATTAATCGCTGAAACTGCAACGATCGACGCAGAAAGGAAAGAAATGTCAAATCTTATTCAAATTGACGCGTTCATTGTTTCATACATATAGATACACAATAATCTTTAAATTCTAGGAGAAACATTTTGAAAAATAAAAGAAATATATTAATTCACCGGAATTTTAATTACATTTGTTTTTAATCGGTTTTCGAGACCTAGTTTAAATCGATTCAGAGTACTTTTCCGCTGCAGGAGAGGAATTTATAATAATAGTATAAATTGACAATCTTTAAAATTTCTTCGTTCAATTGTGACTTGAAAAAATATGCAAATAGGATTATTATCGCGTTTCTTGCCGATTTTTAATGATGTTTACGTAGTGCGAGGCTAGAGTAAAAAATTGCTTATAATATACATATAGCTTACAATATTTATGAAATGGCTAAAATTATTATTGAAAAAGCAAAAGTACATGTCGTTTTAATTATTCTACAATTTAAAATTTAAATAAAATCAATACAAAAAAAACCTGGAATATAATTTGTATAAAATGAAAAGAAAAAGAGATACGTCTAATAACCATAATGATGATTATTCAAGATATATATATATATATATATATATATATGTGTATGTATACGAGTAAACTTATTTTGCATATTGTATATCCTCTTCTCGTTTTTTTCTTTATACATATGTACGTATATATATATTTTTATAGTATGTACTTATATCATAATGAATGAATATTATTCTCTGATTATACATTATTATACAATAACCGTAATCAAATGTTTGTTAGACTATGAGATGCGATAAAGAGAATAATAATTTTGATATATAGAACTTGATATAAAAGAATATCTAACAAACAGGTTATTATGTCGCGTAATGCAATTATTTTACATGAGATTCAGGACATCAACATATGATTTTGCAAAATATTGATAACGTTACGTTTATTAGGAAAAATATCCAAGACTTGACAGCGAAAAATTGAACATAATAGAACGATATTAAACAAGACTTGACGATACTTTGTCAAGCGTGACATGACACTTGTTTAAAACATACACTGACGAATGTGACAAATGTTTATTGGCGATAATAATGTCGCGACAACACCTGTCGACGTTTTGCATTTGAACGCGTTTGAACATAATTGTTGATCTTGCCAACACATGTTGCCAAAGAATGCACGTTACGACAGATCAGCGATGGTCTTACAAGTTTTCTGCAACATTGACAGACTGCGAGAGAGAATCTCATTATAACATTCGCACAATTTATGTATATTCTCGGTATACTATAAAGTGATTTGTGATTCAATTTTGCTCATCGCCGCTCCTAGTTTCATCGCAAGCATTTGCACACGACGCTATTCTTAGCACACGGGTATGTAACATACTCTTGCGAATAAACTGATGACGCGAACGTGCTACATTAAAGGAAAAAAGCAAATCGATCGCGAGGCACGTGATTGTTAGCGAAAATGAAAGAGAGAAAGAGAGAGGTCCCTTATCGCCAAGATTATTTCGAAGAGAGTTGCGAAAACTTAAGCGCGGCTTATCCCTCAATGATAAAGAAGCAATCCTGGATCTTAATAAAGCAATCCCAGTCTTAATAAAGCAGTCCCACCACGCTCGCTCGCGCGAATAATGGTCTCTTCTCCCATTTGTTTTAACAGAGCGGCAGTGCAGCTGGTGGGTATTTTTAGCGTTTCTGTTGAAACGTTGAAATTGAGCGCGTCGTCTCGACAATCTTCGGTTCTTTCGACGACAATGCGACGATTAACGAAGACGAGGGACCGCGCGGTTTTGACGCACCGCGCGTTGACGGCGATCGCGTGCCAAACGCGCGGCTCGGATCCGCCTCCCGGGAGAATCCGCGCATCATCAATTTCTCAATCTCGATCTTTAAACGCCGCACTGATAAATCGACGCGGGATGATCAATCAAGTCTCCCAGAGATATAATCATGACCGTCTGGAATTTTTCTGCTCCGAAAACAAATCTGCGCTTTAAAGAGAAGGAGCTGTTAAAAGTTTTACGAAATGGTAGGTGTCTGGAGAATCGTGGAGGAGAATTTATATATCGTCGCCTTCGGCGTGGAAAACAAACATTTTGTAAATGTATAAATACGTGCGAAGAGAATTGTCTCTTAGAATTTACCTTGAAAATCATGGTATTATCGTGGAACAATATGGAATATTGGAAGATTTTTTTATAAGAGTTTCTCTATAATTAATATTTACCACGATAAACAATATTAATATCTACCGCAATCAGATATAAAATATGTTCGATTCATTTTACATATTAATATTTCTTATCGATTGCCACGATTTTCACTGAAAATTCTCTCCGTGTATAATAAATTATAAATAAATATAATCATCGACGAAGAAATGTGTGCATTTATAGACTCGGGTTATTTGTATTGAAAAAAATGTTTAGCTAGCTAAAAAGGGAATTAAATTTCAAATTAAAAGAGATGATGTTGGTCGTATATTAAATATTGAGAGAAATTCTTTGAAAGTTCATGTCTGACGCAAATACACCATTTCGCAAATAAATATGTAAATAAAAAATGAGAGCGACTATATGTACACAGAATATATAAGCGATTGAATTTGATCGAAAAATAAGAGATGGAATGCACGCGGTGCGTTTACATTTACTTGGGTTTATACGTACATTTGTAATATACGTAATGTGCATGTATCTGCGTTGCGTTATTAACTCCGGTCACGGTATGATTTCACTCCTTCTCTGTTGCAGTGTGCCAAAGTATAGACATAAGAAATAACGTGAATCAATTCTCGAAATTGGAAGGCTGCCGGGTGGTCGAGGGCTTCGTACAAATTCTCTTGATCGACCGAGCGGATTCGTCGTCCTATACCAATCTCACCTTCCCGATCTGGTCGAGATCACAGGATACCTTATTTTATACAGGTACCTTATTTTATGCAGCTTTTTTATACAAGTACAAGTATTTAGCAAGGATTGTCTGGCCACGCCCGAGTTGAAAGCGGTTCGTGAGCGGTTCTTTCATCCGCTTAACTTGATTTCATCCCTTATTCTCTTGCACACTCTCGTGTTTTCAGAGTAAGCGGATTGAGAAGCGTCGGCCGCCTGTTCCCCAACCTTGCGGTCATTCGCGGCCATTCTCTCTTCATTAACTATGCCCTCGTGGCATTCGAGATGAATAACCTTCAGGAGATCGATCTTCATTCGCTGACCAACATCCAACGCGGATCCGTGCGATTCGAGAAGAATCCGACGCTCTGCTACGTCGATACCATCGACTGGGACATCATCGCCAAAGCTGGCAAAGGGGAACACGTCATATCGGTAAGCGTCATCGTCCTCCTTCTTTTTTTATATACTCATGACGTAACTTCTGAACTGGAACGGATTATTTTATATAGGAGGAAAAGTTCGACGACTTGAATAAATCGATTTAAAACCGGGAATGGCTTCTCTATTTTCGCTCAACCGCGTATCCGATTTTATTCTGTACTTTGCGCTATGTATATAGGAGGTATATGCGAACGAATGTCGACGTATCTAGTCGAGATGCATATATATCTCGTCTTTTAGATTTATTTCAAAGGATTACATATTTTTCCGCCGCGATATTTCGATTCCGGACGAGAGTAGATTTAGTATCGCTTTTACGCGCGCGATTCGTCACGCTTCGCGGCGCGAAGCGACGCGCCGCGATCTCTCTTGTCGGTGAATTGTTGAGGAACAAGAAATCCGAGAGGAAGTGGATGAGAATTGCTTCATTCACCTTACAACGCTCTGTGGAAGCGCGCGCGTTATTAACGAAGTCACAAGCGATATGAGCATACAGGATATCTCGTGTAAAGATAGGATACTGTCTTTTCGAGATATCTCATTTTTTAAATTTCATTTTCCAATACAGTGCACTTGCTGTTTGCGTAAATTATTCTGAGTGCAAAAATTTTAGTAATTAAGTCTGGTATTTACATATTTATAAAATGAAACACTTTTATCACTTTTAATGAAGACTTTTATAATGAAGAAGTTTCAACCGAGTCTGTATAAAGTGAATTCCCTTAGGGAAGTACGGTTTCTGGCTCTCATGTAAATAAAATAGTTGCAGTTTCTTTATTCCATCTTATTTCTTGCATATTTCGTGTTCAACTACCATGGAGTATTCTATAAAGAATATTTCGATCTTTGAGAAGTACAAGAAGGAAAAATGTGAAACATCTCGACAATACATTTCTGAAAGCAATATATTGCTTGAAAACTTCGACAAAGGAAAAAGACTTTTTTCCGCAAAGAAAACACGATAATACTCCATCTACATCGAACACTCTGTATATCTTCCGAAGCGATTAAATCGTACTGTGCTGTAATAAAGCCATGCAATTGGATATTATGTGAATAGCATAATTTGATAAGAGCTTTCGATAAGAATGCCATTGTTTCCGCGTTCAAGTAATATTCATCAAGAGACACGGTAGTGTCTCGCGCCAAGTCAAAAAACGACACTTTGCACAGCGAGGCACACCGTGTATTATAACGCGAGTCTGACATCTGAGAACATCATATATTTCAATTATGCTGTAATAAAGCCATGCAATTGGATATTATGTGAATAGCATAATTTGATAAGAGCTTTCGATAAGAATGCCATTGTTTCCGCGTTCAAGTAATATTCATCAAGAGACACGGTAGTGTCTCGCGCCAAGTCAAAAAACGACACTTTGCACAGCGAGGCACACCGTGTATTATAACGCGAGTCTGACATCTGAGAACATCATATATTTCAATTATGCAATAACGGCTGAAGCGATCGAGTTCTTATTATGCTCAATCGATAGATTAGGTTTGAATTATAAAAGAAAGTGCCTTTATTTTTCTCTATGTGCTTTATTAACGGAGATATTATAATCTAAACTTTGTTTTTCTTAAAATTGTTATAAATTTTGGTCGTCGTCGTCGACCTTCTCAATGCGCATGTATTTGAAAATGTCCATTTCGAGCATTCATTGCAAGATAGCGTTAATGTCGCTCCATGAATGATGTTTTGACACATTGATTGACATAGGTTCAGTTTAACCTACATACATAAATTGAATCTTTTGATTTGAATAAGATAGCAGTGCAATAAATAATTATAATAGAATATGAAATATGTAATATGCAATATTACATATTTCTTTTAAATTTAAATTTTGCAATATTATGCTACATACATATGATATGCGATAACACATATGTGATTTTCTTTTATAACCTTTTCTGTCACATTACCATCCCGTTATTTTTTTATTCATTCAATCATTCATTCAGATGTATGTAATTATTGCTATAAAATAAGAAAGTGAATATAAATTAATAATTTATAATTAATAAAATGTAAATATTAATGTAATAAAAATTTGATAATTTATAGCATTATTATGAAGTACTCAGAGTTATCAAAAATGTATATATTATAATTTTTTTCTTTACATTTTATTTATTATATAATATTAGCTTTTGTTTGCTTATTTTTTAGCAATAATTATATATTTATGAAGAAATAGTAGGAAATGGTAGCGTTATAAGATGTTGTTATGAAAGAAAATCAAATATGTGTTATCGCATATCATAGGAGTATCTAACATTTGGGTCGAAGTTGATGATGCACTAGTTAAAAAAAAACAGTGGCCTAGAGGTGCTAAAAATATTTATATAATATTTTTACAAAAGATGGCTAATAAATAATATATATAGCATATGAAATAATGACGAGGGTGATGGCGGATTCTTTGCTTTCTTATTTTAAATTTAAAAAATATATATACTACAAAAGGAATGATATCCATAAAAAAATACCTTTTTTTTAAAAAAAAGGTAAAAAAAGGGCGCCAAGTTTACGCGTCATGTGTTAAAGTGTTTTATAAAAAATATAAAACTTTTATGTTGTAAAATTAATATTTCTAAAAAAAAAAATGATATCTAAAAGTTGCGCCAAATGAATAAATATTTATAAAAAAATTGAAAATTAGAAACTTATGCAAAAATTAAAAAATTAATACAAATAAAAAAAAATTAAAAAATTTTAGTTAAAAAAACTTGGCGCTGCTCAATTTCAAAATTACTGCAATGAATCTTATCTATAATATATCTTAAAGTAACAAATAATTAATTTATGGCAATATATCTTAACGTAACAAATAAACTACTAAACAATTTATTTAATTTGAAAGTACAAAAAATATTTGTAATGTAATATGTACGGAGTTCGTTCATTAGCATAGTGGTTAATTAGTTATTGCAATAGGTATATCTTAAAGTTAAAACAAATAAAATTATTCTATATAAACATTACTTTAATAACAAATAATTAATTTACTTAAAAATTACATTATCATAATAACTGAAATATTAATGAACAATAAACTGAAACATAAATGTACATACAGAGTACGTTAATATTATTAGCACATTGTTTAATTTAGCAGCGCCAAGTTTTTTTAACTAAAATGTTTTAATTTTTTTTATTTTGTATTTCATTTACCTTGAAGCGATTAAGAATCCACGCGCTTTGATTTCGATTAATCATCGTGTACGCGGCATTTCCTACAGGAAACATTATCATCGTGAAGAAACCACGGTTCGGGTCATCGAATACGAGCCATTGCATAGAGTCCTGTTTTCTCTCTACGCACCGCGAAAGAATCATTCGAGTTTTGCCTTAAAAAAAAAAATTAACGCACCGAGGAGCTTCATTACATTTTATTCTGATTTTTACATATCAGTCGAAATGGATCTCTATAGAAAGAGCTCGATTACGGAAACAGTGATGGCGCGAAGGTGATTGGTTATAGACTTCGATAATATATGCAAAGACGGGGAGGAAGAAAGGATAACATCTTTTCTTAAAGTTAAGGCTTTAGCATTTCAGGATACTTTTTGGGAGTTGATGCAAGAATTTTAAAAGTTTACAGCTTGCTTCTGTAGTGGCGCAAGGGAACGTTCTTTGCTTTTGTAACGTTATTTTGAAACTTTTCGCAATTGCGTATCAAGTATGCGAGAAATGTCGGAAATAAACGAAATCTCGAGGGAAATCATCGTGGAAATTACGTGGGAATACGCGAGTGATTGCTGTTAGTGAACTCAGCGTACTTTGTTTGTGCAGGGTAACAAGATAACGAACGGTTGTCCGGTGTGCGACAAGGGTTGCCCGCCGAGGCAGACGAAACACGACGAGACTCTGTGCTGGAATCGACAACACTGCCAACGAGGTAAATTATAATTTGCGACCGAATCATTTTATTCGCAATGTATTTTTCCATCTCTATCGAAAGAGTAATGGACTCTGCACCAAATACATAGGATTTGGTTTTCGAAATTGACTATTTTTTTCATATGTTGTAGCTTATGACTCGCTGAAAGATGTAATAGCCTCAAAGCTAAACATTCGATAGTTACTTATATTTTTTGTTCAGCAGATCATAAGTTATATAACATTTGAGCAAACCAGCTGATCTTACCAAGATTCAATTCTATATAATTTTAGTACGAGGCTTTTGAATCTGCATAAAATCCCGGCAAAATCAACTGATTTTTTCACATGTAACTCATGACTTGCTGAACAAAAAATGTAATAGGCTTGAAGCTAAATAACAGATGATTACTGATTTACAGCCAGTCAAACACAAAAAATTAAGACTTTACTAGTAACTCAGTAACTATTAGAATATTTAGCTTTGAGGCTATTATATCTTTTGTTCAGCAGGACATAATCTACAACATGCAAAAAAAAACCAATTCCACCGAAAGCCAAAATCCTATATATTGATGTGGAGTTTTTTCTCTAGTCGACTTAACTTGTAATTAATATATACACATGAGAGATTAGATATGTAGATATGATTTTAAAAAATGCGAAATGGTTTATCTCTGCAGTATGCGACGAAAAGTGCGGGGACAACGCTTGCGATATCGAGACAGGAGAGTGTTGTCATCCTTCCTGTCTGGGTGGATGCACGGGACCGACGGTCGACAACTGCACCGTCTGCAAGAACGTGATAATCGCCGACAGATGCGAGAACCGTTGTCCTCCCGGCAAGTACGAATTCATGAATCGACGTTGCATCACCGAACAGGAGTGCCGGAATATGCCGAAACCACGCGAAGCTTTCGACATCGTCAAGCCGTATCCGTACAAGCCGTTCAACGGCACCTGCGTGATCGAATGTCCGGCCGGTTTCATGGAGAGCGACGAGAAAGGCGAGAGGCATCTGTCCTGCCGAAAGTGCAAGGGTCCGTGCTTGAAGGAGTGCTCCGGCGCAAACGTGGATAGCATCGCGGCGGCACAAAAGTTACGCGGATGCACGCATATCGCGGGCAGCCTCGAGATACAAATACGTGGCGGCAAGAACATCGTGAAGGAGCTCGAGGACAATCTGAGCACGATCGAGGAGATAGACGGTTATCTGAAGGTCATACGTAGCTTCCCACTGATATCCCTCAACTTTCTGAAGAATCTGCGGATGATACGCGGCAATACGCTCGAGAACAACAAGTATAGCCTCGCGGTGCTCGACAATCAGAATCTTCAGGAGCTCTGGGACTGGAGTACGCATAAGAACATTACCATCTTGTCCTCGATAGGCCCTGCAAAGGTCTTCTTTCATTTTAATCCGAAATTGTGCATGTATAAAATCGACATGTTGCGAGAAAAGGCGAAATTGGACAATTTCACCGAGCACGACGTGGCGATCAACAGCAATGGAGACAAGGTCGCGTGCAACGTCACTCAACTGCAAACCCGGGTCTCCAAGAAGACATCTAGGGGTGCTATTATTGAGTGGGAATATTTTGTGCATCACGATTACCGGTCCCTCTTGGGTTACGTTGTTTACTTCATCGAAGCGCCATATAAAAACGTGACGATGTACGATGGTCGCGATGCTTGCGGCGGCGATGGTTGGCGGGTTGAGGACGTCTCCCCCGAAAGCGCAGCACCACAGTTCGTTAACGACACGAAGCAACCGCCGTATATGGCTCACATACTCACCCTACTGAAACCGTATACTCAATACGCTTACTACGTAAAGACTTACACCATAGCTACGGAAGAATCGGGCGGCCAAACCGAAGTTACGTACTTTACGACAATGCCAGACGCGCCTAGTTCACCTAGGGTTCTGTCGATCTGGAGTAATTCCAGCAGCGAGCTGGTTATGACCTGGTTTCCGCCGCTTTACGAAAATGGAAATCTCACGTATTATCGAATCGTTGGCCGCTGGGAGCCCGATGACACGAATTTCATCGATCAGAGAAACTACTGTGACGAACGTAATTAAAAAAAGTCATTACACTTTTTTCTTTTTCTTCAGAGTAATGGTATTCTATATTAAATTCTCTAAAAAGTCAAGTATACAATGTGTCTCAAAGTTAATGTTTAATGGTAGAAGCAAGAAAAAAATATACTTTCTAACATTGGTCAAAAACATTTTATCATACATTACATTTAAAAATACATTTAAAAATATGTTTGCTTAATTTTTTATTTTAAAATTTATTTTTGTTTCTAATGCAAGCTTGACATCGTTGAGAGATTGAATATTTGATAAAGTTTTATTTTTAGTTCGCGAATGCCAAAGCAATCTCGATTAGTTCTTGTCGCGAATTGACTCTTGTGATGATACACTTTTGCTTTCACTGACGATAAAAATTTAATTAAAATAAAAAGCATTGTTAGAATAAACAGATTAGATAAACAGCGCCAACTGTTTTTCTTACACTTTAAGATCGAGTTCGCTATTGTCTTTATACTTCATATGTTTAATAAAACGTTTTTGGACTAATGTTTATACCTCTTTTTTTTTTTAATTTCTACATGGGGCAAAGTTTAACTTGATATGTAATATTTATGAAGAAAAACAAGTACGATTATTACAATTATTATAAGCGGGTTAAACTTATTTTTCATAGCTATGTCATTGCCCGAGAAGAAACCGATGTCCGTCGTAGCGGAGGAAGAAAGGAAACGTGCCGAAGAAGAGAAGGAATTGGTGAAATCACCCGAGACTACTTCGTGCAGCTGCGCAGATCGAGAAACGACGGATCAATCGATGCGTGAAAAGGAAGTTTCTAGTTCGATCGCCTTCGAGAACGCATTGCACAATCAGGTCTATATAAAACGGATGAACACGCGTAGAAGACGCGACGTAAATAGCGAAATGTTGTTAACGGCGGAACTAAACTCAACTAAAGATGCTAAAGAGGAGAGTAACGATCAACAGGTAAGATCGACAAAAGCATTTCACTCCCAAGATCTTTGCTTAAATTCACTGTTAATTATATAAATAAATATAAAAATGAAACAAATTATATATCTATCAAATTTATATTTGGTAAAAACATTTCGGAAAGAATTTTAATCATATTTTATATCCTGCATAAACCGATTAAAAGTCAATAAAATTTTGTAGAAATATTAATGGAAAATAAATCAGCAGATAAAATAATTTATTGTTGGCTGCGTTTAATTACGTTGTACATTTTTGGGCACAAACCGAATACGTTTTTTTTTTTTTGCATGTTTCAGGATAAGGCTAATACTAACGATAAAAATAAGGATAAAATGGAAAATGGCACGTTCATAGTATTCGAGCGACTGATATCGAGTACGAATCTTAGTTTCGTGATGAAGAACCTGCGGCACTTTGCGGCGTACAATATCGAGGTTCAAGCTTGCAGAGAACGAGTTGTAAATGAGACTGAATTGAAGAGTAATAATTGCTCAACAAAAAGCATGAAAACGTACCGTACATTGGCTATGGAGAGCGCGGATAATATTCCACCAAACACTTTTAAACTGAGTGTTTCTGGCGAGAATAACAGTCTTACTGTGGTTTCATTGTACTGGGACGAACCGCCTCAACCCAATGGCCTAATCGTCACGTATCAGATTGAATACAAAAGAGTAGATATAAAAAATGTGAGTAACATGTCTTTTAGTTTTATTATCAACTGAACAAAATTGCTGCAAATGCGTTTCGATATATTTTGAAAGAGAGAGGAAAGAATTTAATAAATTTGAATAAAAATTATAATTTACAAAATATTACTTTTACATATTTGAATACGCTGTTATGACACCTAAATGTAATCTCTTTTTCTGTATTATGCAGATAAAAACAACAGTGGTGTGTATCACAAGACGCGATTTCACCAACGCGGGTAATTCGTATATCTTGAAAGATCTTCCTGCTGGAAATTACTCTGTGAAAGTTCGGGCTACTAGTTTAGCTGGATACGGCGCGTACACTGAAATAAAATATTTTTATATAGAAGAACACGGCATGATGAATACATTCTGGATTTTCTTCTGGTCGATATCGAGCTTTGGTGGAATATTGAGTTTTCTGACGTTATTTTACATATTTAAAAGAAGATCGATGCGGAATGTGCCTAGTATGAAACTAATTGCGACGGTGAATCCAGAATACGTGAGCACTACTTACGTACCAGACGAGTGGGAAGTGCCCCGAAAAAAGATACAGTTATTACGTGAATTAGGAAACGGCTCTTTCGGCATGGTATACGAGGGATTGGCCAAAGATGTCGTCAAAGGTAAACCGGAAGTACGGTGCGCCGTGAAAACTGTAAACGAAAACGCAACAGACCGTGAACGGATAGAGTTCCTTAACGAAGCGTCCGTCATGAAGTAAGAGGGATTGATTGCTTCTTCAATTCTATATATTATTATTACTTTTTTTAACTCACATTATATTTTTCTCTGTTAAAGAGCTTTCAACACCCATCATGTGGTCAGATTGTTGGGTGTAGTGTCACAAGGCCAGCCTACATTGGTAGTTATGGAACTGATGGTGAACGGTGATCTAAAGACATATTTAAGGAGTCACCGACCGGATGTTTGCGAAAACTCTAAACAACCACCGACATTGAGAGATATATTGCAAATGGCAGTCGAAATTGCCGACGGCATGTCTTATCTCTCAGCGAAGAAATTTGTTCACAGAGATCTGGCTGCTCGTAATTGCATGGTAGCCGAAGATCTTACTGTGAAGATCGGTGACTTTGGCATGACGAGGGATATTTATGAAACTGATTACTATAGAAAAGGATCCAAGGGACTCTTGCCTGTTAGATGGATGGCGCCAGAAAGTTTAAAAGACGGTGTATTCACCAGTTTTTCCGACGTTTGGAGCTACGGAGTTGTTCTATGGGAAATGGTGACGTTAGCTTCGCAGCCGTATCAAGGTTTATCAAATGATCAGGTATGAATGAGTATGAATCCTCTTGAAATAAAATATTCTTTGCTTGTTAAATACATTTCTCTAAATTATTATAATGTTCTTCAGGTGCTGCGTTATGTAATTGAAGGAGGGGTTATGGAACGACCGGAAAATTGTCCCGATTCATTGTACAGTTTGATGAGACGTACCTGGAATCATAAAGCCACGAGAAGACCTACCTTCATAGACATCGAGACGTTATTATTGCAAGAAGTTATTATGGAATGCTTTGAGAATGTTAGCTTTTATCACAGCCTGGAAGGGATTGAAGCTCGAAATCAAAATAGTTCACATTCACCGCAAAATGAGTAAGAAATATTCACAAAATTTTCTTAGCATGTTTTATTATGCTTTAATATACAAATGTACATCTATTTACATTATAATTTATTAATTTTTTTAACAGAGATTTAGAAATGATTGCTTTACAAGACTTGCGGGAGGAAGAAATCGAGGGGGAAGAAAATTCGCCACTGCGTCAAGATTTTGATGACTTTGCAAGTTTCGAACCTTGCAGTATTAAAAATAACCTGAGTCCACGATTCGTAGCGGATTCGTATGGTAAAACCTCCACTTCCAATTTCCATGACATGAACTCTTCAAAAGTACCTAAAGCTGGATTCGACGAATTTGTCGGCGTCTCCGGAGATTCGCTCGTATCTAGCAAGGATACGTTGAATTCGCCTTTCGTGGAAGGCAGCCTTAAATCAATCAGGAGCTCACCTTTTATATATAAGAAAAGTACATCCCGCAGTAACGTAAGTCAAGGTTCCCTAGCAAAGTCTGGGAGTCCGCAAAGTTTAGTCAAGCGAAATTTTCTCGATAGTCCGAACCCATCTCGGGGCGATCCCGATTACGAAAATCGGAGTCCCGAAAGCGTGTCGGCTTTCGAAAATAGAGAGATTACTCCGTTGCACGTAGAATTTCCATCTGTGGACGCTATGGACATTCAGATTAACGGTGACAAGAAAGAGAGCAGGCGCACGACGAATGATTATGCAAACAAATCGGAAATGTTAAATAACGGTTACATCGGTAACACGGCCACGTAGCTTCACAGATATTTTCGACGTTGTCAGCATCCGACGCGAAACAAATCACATATGACAAAAACGCAAAATTATATTCTTGGAACGAATCGACATGAGTATTCCAACAAAAAGGCAGTGTCTGTGCCAAATTTATGAGCCGAATCGTAATTTTGAAAGATGAATAGCATTGAACAGCGTTTTATATACACGAAAAAAGATGCTAGTGTGTTCTAGACTAACGGAAGTTATAAGTCTATATTTTAAACGTCTAGATGTAACTAAGAATACAGGTCTTAAATGCAGACGAGTGAAGTTTCCTTATACGGGTGTTACCATGTCTTAATTCCGTCTCTCTAACTGTAATTAATTATCGCTACGCGTGTACAGCTAATTATATAATATACATATATATATTTGTTACGCTGCAATGCATGTTGGAAATGAGCAGCGAATATATTTATACCAGATACTGTCTTTTTGAAGTTATCGCTGTAGTGTATGTTAATACGAAAAGATTTAGCTTATTAAAGACGCCGTTATTGTGAAGTTACAAACAGTTGCAACAGGTTTAAAAGCCAGAAACCGTCTCTTCTTGATATTGGGTCCTACACTATTGAGAAACATGCAGATATATTCAGTTGGCAACACGATATCTGCTAACAAGCATGTAACAGCCTCTTTCTCTCTCTTCCCTTTTTCTCTATCTCTCTCTGTTCATTAATTATCTAGCATGTAAGTGTATATCGAAGAATTAAGCAGATCGATTATTTGTACTATAGATTTTCTATTTAATTTTCAAAGTCGTAAATTTCCTAGTTTCCACTGTAACTAACTATATATTTGTACAGCACATCGGTTTATTTTTTAAAATTTATAGGAAATATAAACCAAAATGGTAATCGGTATAACCAAAATGGTTATATCGACTACCGCGTTGATATGACATTTTGTTCGCAGCAAAGAGATCATATTTTATAAATTTTGTGAATTAGACCCAATCGCCACGATTTTAGGCTTCAAATATGTAACACTAATTCCATATTTGTTGAAAAGTATATATGTAGAAAAAGTGAGAGATTCAGAATAAGAGTGTATCGACTTGGCAAACATATATTATCGCGTTTCTCTAATTTAAATTTCTATTATATTTATATTTTCTATATATGTTATTTTAATGTTTTTGACTTTTTATATCAGTTGAGATCTAAAAGTTCTGAATCCATCATTTCTCTAATGTGTACAATAGAAGAATTAGAGAGTAAGGATCTAAGTTGAAAGTTGCTTTCAATAGCAAATGTTTGATTGATTTTGCGATATAGTTTGCAAAGAGTCCCTATTATAACTATTTTAATCTTTTACAATTATGGCAAAATCTTAAACGAAAACAATTACAGCGTTTAAGTCCTTTGTATATTAGATATTGATATTACATTTTAGTTTTTTTTAGCCATCACGATGAAATGTTATATGCTAACGATATCGATGTTAATTTCGAGTGCCCTACTCTCGTTTCTCGTTTCTGTATATCTAAAAAATCTGGCGAATGTAAAGATTCAAAGAAGCTCAAAGAAAACACTGCACTGTACGTTTAAACAATTTCAGAATCGATCAAGATTGTACATACTTGACAATGCAAAAGAAACTTATCCGCCTCGATGGAATCGTTATCGAATTGAAATAATTTTAATAGCGAGAGAGAGAGAGAGAGAGAGCAATAAGTAACTTTGTCGAAATATCTTTTGTATGGTCAATGTGTTTCACTTTCTGAAATTTTTCCGACGTATTCTATAAATGTGGCATAGTGTAACTATGTGTCGATGTACACATAACATGTTAAACGTACTATTTCGTGGAGCTGGCACATGAAATTCTCCGCATTGCCTTCGTAATATCTTCCAAGAAGTGCATATCTCACCAATATATAGATATCGCTTTTCGATATTCCATATAAAAAGCTTCATCGTGCAATTTTATAGTCATGAGTCTACCAGAGAGTCCCCCATATCTCGTGCAATAGGATCGTCCACGCTATTTATGTTCCATATAAGCAGTCTGCGGTGTCGCCGATATACAAACATACCGCCGTTAATCCGTCGTTTCTGCGTCGCTCCACGAAATAAATTACGAAATTCCGAAATGTACACCACATATTTTTCGATTAGAGACGAGAGAGACGTAGACTGTCCTAGTGAGCCCAGTGAGAAACAAGATTGATGACGGATCGAGAAGATTGAACCCGTGTAATCATAATTGCAATCGCAAGATAAATAATAGCGGACGAATCCTAACATGAATGAGCTAAGAAGGAAGAATTATTATACAAGCAACGCAACGCAATGCAGTTGAGTCTATAGACATAACGAGCCTGTAATACAAGACTGATTAGCTAATCCCACTATTACATCCGTAATCTCTCTCAGTAAGTTAAAGGTACAAGACAAAATGGTAGAAGTTCCATGTCGTTCCATATCCCCAAACATCTTCCTTTTTGTTGCTTTGTTTCATTTATCCTCTTGTTTTTTATCCGCTTGAAGGCGTATTATTAAAATTTACTTCGAGATTTATTAATGATTAATGCGATCCGTGATTGTTTCGTTCCTAACATCGCGTGTTTAGTGCATTCTTGTGTCGCTTTGGTTCGGCGGCTTATCGGAGCGTGTGTATAACAAAAGTATACGGGGTGTCTCCGAAGCTATTGCATCATTTTTCCTTATAAATTCCCAAGGAATTTGTAGAAACGATGCGGATCACAATCTAAAAGAGGAATGTTGTAATTATTTAATATTTTCAATATTTATTCGCGCGTATCCAATATATCTCGAATCCAAAACAGATGTAGAAAAAGAAAATAAGACGGGCAAGCTTTTAACATTTATATTTATATTATTTAATTTTATTATTTAAATGTCATTTTCTCTGAAGCTTCCATGAAAATAATAAAAAAAACAGTACAAATTTATGAAATTTCAAAGACATATTGCATTAGTTTCGAGATACACTGTATATCAATGTCTAATGTAACTCTAAAGTACCAGTGATGTAAAATAAAAAGTACCTAATACACGCAATATTTACGCGCGTAATATCACGATGGCTTACAAAAGTCACGATATCGCGCAGAGATTGTACGGGCCCAAGATAATACGAGAAAAAATGATGTAACATAAAAAAATATACATAAAAGCGCAAACCTTGTAGAATTGCTGTCGTTGATTAAGTTTCTCGCTCTTTTTGCGGGAGGAGAGTATTCTCTTCTAGATTATCTGCGCCGAATTGTTCTTTTTCTTATTAGAAAAAATCCTGTTTACTAACAAAAGGTGCCAAGGTGAGCGATTAATCCTAGTCTTCGAAGAGTGATTTAGGTGATTTAAATTTTATGGCAAAAAGCTCCAAACTGCAACATATTTCTGACCTTAAATGGACGTTGTCTTAAGCTCTAATCTCTAAGTCCTAAGCGAGTTGGTCAACTCCCAACTTTTAAAGCTTAGAGTTTGAAGCTTAGGATCGATGTAATTTTTCTCTTAAATCACTTTAAATCATCCTTTGTAGACTAGGACTTAGGTATTTGTTTATTGTTATTGAGGTTTCGATCAAGTACGTCTCAATGTTCGATCAAATAATCTAAAATATATAATTGCCATCTCGTACCTTGAAGCTTTAAACCACGACAGGTCTTCTTTTTCATCCTTTCGGCGATTTCTTTAGAATATAGATGCAATTGGTTTGTGTCGTTTAGAGAGAGCTGAAACTATTTTCAAAAGCAAGGTGCTTCACAAATTGCGCAAACTTTCAGAACGAAAGGCGACAAAAAAAATACAAGGGGTACACATAAACGATAATTTCTCCCGAAATTAAGGAACACGATTAATGACACAGATAAGCCGATCGGCCGATGTATCGTAATAATAAGCCTCGCTCGTATTCTGAAGTATATTTAGTGTAATAACAAAATAAACAAGTTAATGCTTAAACCACGTACTAATGTAAGTAACATAAGATCAACACGAAATGTTTCCTATATGGCCGCGAGTCTCTGTATATTGTACGAATCGGCGGGCGATCGCTAATGTTAGGCCTACTCTATATTGATAGTTCTGTAATATATTAGAGATAATCTCTGTGGGAATTAATGTAATACGTAATCGTGTCTGGAGATTGTGTGTAACTAATTAAGTCCAGAGAGAAAAGTGTGCCTGGTGTCGCCGCGTATATTGATCGATTCGATGGATGTGCGATATATTCGAATAGCAAAGATTGAAGGGTGTGATCGTGACAAAAAAAATTGATCAATGTACATCTGTATCAACGATAGAGGGAATCGAAGAAAATATCGAGCATAGAGAATATCTAATTTTTTTGTGTGTTGCAAAAATTAAGCGAAGCGTTCCGACCCCAATCGTGAATAATTAAAAGCTTTTTCTCTGCTGATCTTAAACTGAAGCACTAACTACTCATCTTAAACATCGAGACGCATAGAAATACATTCATCCTGCAAAAAAATAAATTTAGCATAGTCGTAGCTCGAGACGCTATTAATTAGTCGATATTTGATGCTTGATTTTTTTGCACTTTAGCAAATTTTATAAATTTTACGAGATATTTTGAGTTTTTACAATGTCCAGTATGTTGATTTTTTTCTTGCGAATAAATTTTACTGTCTATATCCATTGAAAACAAATCTTCCATACACGGTGAAAAAAATTGCGAGATTTCTTCTCCCATTATATTGCGACAATAACGACTTTAATTAAAGTTTCGTTGATGTGCCGCTTCTATTTAGAACTTCTTTCTTATCTTGTATACATATACATTAAATCTGATTCTTTGTTCAGTTCCTATCACGCACATTTTTATGTTTACACGTAATTAACGGATAAGATCTCTGAGATACTATTGTATGCTAATATATTATACAAAGTATATTTCGCTGTGCTATATTCAGTTCATTTATTATTTTTCATTTTTTGCAAAACAATTTACTTGACTACACAAACTGCTCAATATTAGATTGCTCAAGTTCCGTAACGATCTAACAGTAAGATAAAATCATGTAACATTGAACATATAGGACGAATAATTATGAAACGTACATTAATATTGCATTGCATTTGTAATAAAAATATAAGCGATCACAGAATCCTTTTTTCGAATTAACGATACATTTTGTACGATCTTTTGCATAGCAATAAAACTTTCAGACTATGTTGGTGAAGTAAAAAGATATATTTGAAACTAACTTCGACTTACACATAAACTATATTGTGTTATCGAGTTATTATCTGGAATAAAACACACTTGCTTCTTAAGTTTTTCAAAGAATAATCGTCACAATTTTCCTTCATTTCTGTGATCGAATAAGATACCTTTATTTATAAAATTAGTACACATGTCGGTTTAATTTTTTAATTAATTTTTAATTTTTAATTAGCTGTGTTTTTATAATATTAACGTCTTTGGCATAATATTTCGAAATAATATTTGTCCTCCAAACATTTCTTATATCATACGCGTATACATTTAATTTACATTTTGAAATTTATTCTAAATTATGCGAAATAACCATCGTATTTTCATTTTGCATATGCTTTTGGATTGCGCTTAATACGAATATTCAACTATATAATAAAATTATATATATATTTTACGAAATAAATGTTTTCATATAAAGGCCCAAATTTTGATAAAATGAGAATAATTGGCCTTTTTTTTAAATTGTATAAAAATATGGAACTACATGAACATAGGTATATCTATATGAAAAGTATGTAATATACATAGGTATATCTATATGAAAAGTATGTAATATATTATAAATTTTATCTTGATTTATAAAACATTATAATGTACATTTTACATACACGGACGATGTTTAGAATGATTGACATTTTTACGAATTTTTTGCTCAAGGATTTTCGCATTTAATCATTGAAATATTATTGTATATCTTCACAGTTTATAATTATCACAATGGAGGCAATGATCAATCGTTCGCAGAGATAAAAAAATGAAATATCTTTTTTCTTTTTTATACACATTTGCCGTAGAAATCATACATATGTGTATTTTTTTAAAATCAGAATTACGCACATTAGCATAGATCTAATAGTGCAATCGTTATTCTTATCGAACATCGATGCTAATTATTTTTTTTCTTTTTTTAAGACTGTTATATATAATGGCAGCTGATAATTGCTATTAATTGTAATACACGTTTTCTGCGTAGCTATCACTCGTAGCAATTATCGAAATAAATTCATATATTTATCGCTTCGCGCGCAACACACGCTGAATTACAGAGACTTATTATTTTCAATATTAGCATACATGGATAAAACGATAAGTCAAAGGTTGTTTCGTTCCTTCGAATGAGATAATTATTGCTGCCTTTTACGTCAGATCGTTAAAAATGTACTATACTTGGCATTAAAACGCGCAACGAATGCTCAACCAATTGATTTGTAAAAATTGTGTAATGGAAAAGCAAAGTCTGTCTCATCTTTACGATCAGCTATATGATACAGATGTGCAAAGAGGATAAATCGGGAACCTCCTTTCATTTCCGCTTCTTCGGCTAGATGCTTCAATAAGCCTCTCGATGTTTGTACATGTAGCGCTTCGATTAATTTTTGAGCAAACTTTTGTGTTTTAGTTTAATTTGTTCTCGAGGTGTGGATGACTGCGAGAAAGTTTGACGAACAAAAGTGTTTTATAGTACGTTATTAAATAAGACCGATGCATATTACTCGAGATAAGATGCATTCGTATCGAGGGCAGAGCTTTTCGACAAGGATATGTAAAATACTCGTCGTTTTCACCACAAGATTACAAATGCCGAAGAATGTCTTATCGTTAATATACATATATCTGTATACTGATCGCTCTGTAGAGCGCCGAATGTGTATGCCGGACACTTTTGTCAATGATTACATAGTCATTAGACCACGGATTTATCAGTTTCCGAAGCAGCGCGTTAATCGTCCTGCGAAGAAGGATACAGATCAAAGAGAGATTAGCCTAACACATCACATCTTCTCTCGCATAATCACAAAAATAATGACAAAACACCGCGACGATGTACGAGCCATTCCGACCGCAAATTTACACGTTACAACAATTTATAATTCATATTATTTAACGTAAAGCTTAGAAAGAGAGAGAGATCGATGGTTTAAAAAAAAAAAACCAAACTTGCTTCGTACTTTTTTTGCGCAAAAAACGAACATCTCGTACATCTCCGCGACTTTGGAGAGAAAAGAATGCATTTAAATATTATACGCGCGTCACAAGACGAAGGCAAACTATTTTCTTATAGAGATTCTTTTTTCGAGTGATGCACAAATGTTAGTATATTTTCCATCCTGAGTTTACTAAAAAAAAATAAATAAAATAAAAAACAAACTGCCACTGCCGTAACGAAAGAGAAGCCTGCGAGAAGAAGTAGTAAATAAAAATGAGAAAAAAAAGATACGCTATGAATAAAACATAAGCCCCCCCTGAACCCCCCTTATTCCACTTTGAGATACATCAATATCTCGGAATTGAATCCTCGTCTCTCGCGAGATACGCGTCATCTTTCGTTTATTCTCGCTTCTATACGCGACGCGGCGCGTATCGCATAATCACTTGTGTACTTGTAATAAGTTTTGCGCGTCGTCATCACACACATACTTGTGATGGCGACATTATATATGGAGAATATTTCGCTCGCGAAATTTCTCGTTCGTTTCGCGTCGTAGTAAACGGCGCGATAATAGCGTAGCGAATATTATAATAGGTAAAGCGTTTTTTAGCGAGAGCACTAAACCTGCGACTTTAGCGAGGCGTTGTTTCTTTCTAGATCGATTAGAGGTAATTTTTATTCGGCTGGATGAAAAAAAAATTACAAAAAATTAAGCGCGACGATGCGTGACCTGTTCTTCTTACGGTCGCAGCCGCGAGTATGTAATATATATATATATATATATATATATTTATATATATATATACATAATATGCGATAATGAGATGTAAATGTTAAAGTCGCGTCGTTGATGCAAAACGACGCGAAGATATACTTGAAATGCGCAAAAAACGCGTCTCGAAATCGATAACAAGAGCCGACGGTCTCCCATGAAGCGCCGCAGATTATAATCATAGATGTAATTTTTAATTTGTAATTTTGTCACCGCGAGATGTAGGAAAAACCAGGCGAGGACGACGATCCCTCTGTATATCTTTCTCCTCTTCCGGCCCCCTTTTCGCCCCTTTCGAAGATATTAACGGCGCCCTTTGCCTGGACGATGCTTGAGAAATTTAGACGATATCCGATTATCTCATTAAAAATTGTATTTACTATTATATAATTATACGATACGCGCTGTACGCAGAGGAAGAAACAGATTTTATTTACCAAATACCAGTTTTTTAATAAAAATCTTTTTGTGAAAGAAAAATACTCGGACTCTTGTGCTCACCTCATATCGTTACAAATCAACATTTAACGAGTCGCTTGTATAGCAAATTTGATTGAATACATATTAATACATTTGTATATAAATTCGCGCCAGTATAAGTAATTAAAACAATAATATAATTAATCCTACGGCTTATATTGTTATTCGATACGAACGATAGCTCATATCAATTATCTTTCTGTTTTAATTATTTACGGTACTGTAAACTCGCGCACGTCTAATCAAATGTACATTATTGAAATTGCCTCTCGATTTTTTCGATAAAAATGCGTCGTCTTTAATGGAATCATTTTTCCAGAAGGAGGCATCATTAACTTTTTGTTTTTTCTTAATTTTCTAAAATTTATTTCTCTTGTTATTACGTTTTATTTTCATTTTTCTATAATTAAATATGCAAATAAATGTTAGCGTTCTCATTTAACAGGAGAGCAAACGCTAAATTTTTTTACTGATTTCATTGCGAACGCCAATTCCATGACGACCCGTAAAAGATAACACAATCGCAAATAATCGCATTCGATACGATAGCTCGTCCCTCATGCGAATATTCATGATAATGCCCGACTTGACAACTTGGCAAAAGAGCATGACGTTCAATTTCTTGATTAGCTCCACGTAATCGTGAGAGGCTCACTTTCGCGATGAACTGCAACAGCTCTTCCGCAATATGAGAATTCGATTATACGATTATATCCGCATTTTCATCTTGCTCGAGACATTGCAAGCGATTTCTTATGCGAAGATCATCGACCAAGATACTCGCAGGTATATCATTGATATAATAAGTAACGTGATCTTCGTTAGAATCGTCTCGTTTGTACAAATTCGAGGATCTTTTCCTACTTGTTTGGTCCTCATCTTCGCTGAAATATTATTCCATAAATTTGACGTCACTTAGGAGAGATTACGTTGTTTCCGATACGCAACGAGAGACATCCGAAGTCGCTCGAGTGACGTCGCAACCTCGAAGAAACGACAGCTACGCGAGAGAGATAAACCCGAGGAAGAGACGCGCGAAGAGATCCGCGAATCCCGATATCCGACAATCGAACACCGAAAAGTCTATCGGACTCGATACAGACTCGAACGAGGAATCGGATTATGGGGAGGAAGAGACTGGGCAGGAGGAGATAGCGAAACGAGAAGAGGACGATAAAGAGACGAGCGATCTCGTGCGTTCACCCCGTGACATCAACGTCGAAAAATACGCCGATCAGGACGAGAGATCGAGTCTGTACGACGATTACGAAGCGAAGGACGTCGCGAAACGCGGCGTCCTGGGTGGTCCGGGGGATTACGAGGAAGCGGAAAACGATTCGGGGTTATTGGAGAACGAGTCTCGGGTGAAGAGAGATCGGGAAGCGATTTCGGAAACGCCCGATAAATCCGAACCGAGCATTCCGGCGAAGCTACAGGAGCCAGAAGTCGCGAGGAATCCTTTTACGCGGGAAGTTTCCCGTGTCGAATCGTCGAAAAGTTTTAATCGACGAGCTTCCGACGACTCGGCGTCCCAGCTCAAAGGAACCGTTCGATCGAACGAGGTGATTTCAAGGTCGAGTGATTTCGCCGAGAACGAGATACCAGCTAGCGTAATTACTTCGTCTGGCAAGGACGAAGAATCGAGATACGGGAGACGCGTGGAGGAGGAGATTCGACGCAAGATCGAGTCCATTAAGGAGGAGATCAAGCGTGACATCGAGGCGCAACAGCGGATAAGGGATATCGAAGAGAACAACGTCAGGTTCGACGAATTGCGGGATCAGGAGGACGAATCGATCGAGAAGAGACAGATCGGCAAGAGATCGGTAGGAGAAATCGCTGCTGCTGCTTCTTCTTCATCGGAGAAAAATGATGAGAAACGTTGCTTGAAGGCAGAACGACGCGATAAGCTGCAACGATCCAGCGACATCGGCAGGTCGGATACTTTGAAAGAAAGCGAAAGTTTGAAAAGACGATTCGCGATTAATCGAGATAAGTCCTCCGGACAGACTCCTTCGATGGGACTCGTCAAAAGGAAACGCGAGCGTGTCAGGCAAACTTTTCTGGTAAACAATGATCAAGCAAGGAAAAGACGCTCGAGAAGTTACACCTCGTCTTCTGATCGGACAGCTTCCAGACTGGAAAACGAATTGTTCACAGATTTGAATTCTCATCGCTATACAAACGATGGAATGGTAAGGTTCAGTGAAAAGTAGAATAAATTCGAGTAATTATTTTTTTTTAATATATATACGTATTAATTAAAAATTAATATATGTATTATATTGCGCGACATTTTTCGCTTAAAAATAATCTCAGAATTTTATGGAATCGAAGAAACATAAAAAGATAAATCGAAAAGTTGCAATAATTTTTTTCCACAAAAGATTTGATTCTTGAGAAAGAAAATTGATTTGAAAAACATTATTATATTTAAAGATTTGTATCAATTATATATTAACATATTACCGAATTTATTTCGATGTGATTACTAATATATGCATGTATATTGGTATATAAAAAATGCAATGTCTCTATTGAAAATTTAAATCTTTTTCTAAATACTTTTTGCACAATTTTTTCAATAATTAAAATTATATCTCATGATAAAAAAATAATTTTATTATCAAATAAATTGAATGTAACATATTACATTATTCTACGTTCCAAAGTGAACATATTTTTATATTTATATAGTTTTTTATGAAAAAATGTTATATATTCTACATTTTCGACTTACCTAATTTTTCATACAGAATTAGTTTTCTCACTTGCACCGTCAGTTATACAAGATATTTTGTACATACATGTACCTATATATATAGAGTGACACGAAACTTTGTCACAGCTACAAGGATCGTCGCCTGTCGCCGGCGAAGATGAGAACAACGATGGAGAACAAAGTCCTGTAGCGGAACGTTCGAATTCCTTGGCGTCTCTCACCGGAAGTTCGCAGGAATTGAGTCCACGCTTAGCGAGAGAGTACAAAGAGGCCTTCGGTGGGTTGCAGAGCGAGTCTGGCAGCGCTCTCGCTAGATTCAAGAGGATCAAACGCGTACTCGATGCGAAAAGTTAAAAAGAAAAATAAAATAGAACAAGCTACTCTCTCTTCCGGATAAGAATATTTCTAGGAAAAATGAAATTATCACGAAAAAGAGATAATAATATTCTGAACTATCGTCGCGCAGTAAAACGAAGGACCAAGTAGGAATATAAGACATATGAGACTTTTTTTATGAAATATTTATATATAGATCTTTACGAGAGAGCAGAATGATGCATTTGTAATTAGAGAGAAAGACACTATAACTATATAATATAGGGTGTAATGCCATTAATCACTCGGAGAGATTGCGAGTCGATTTAATTGTAGTCTAAATGAACGATATATATATAAATCTTTTTTGACAAAAGTGGATAACTATGCTTTTCTACCGCTCTAAATTACTTATAAATTTTCATTTTTTTACGCCGACCATGTGTAGCACGTCAAAAGATATAAAACGAGTTTTGAATTGCTTCTTCCCTTCAGACTTCGCTCCTTATACACAATCTTAAAATATATTACAAGCTATTTAAAAAACATCTCGCAAAGTAAATTGCACAATGTCGCTAACATTGCTTGCGCGCGCGACGATACGCTTCGCGTACGCGCGCTCGTAATCGTTCCTCCAGTAATTCATTAACGTTATAATATATTTCGATAAATTTTAATTTTTTTTTTATTAACAGACAATAAAATTCAAATCAATCAATCAATCATTTTTTTAAATCTCCGCACACGCAACAGTATATATATATATATATATATATATATATATATATATACTAGAGAAACATTATGTACAACAGTGACTCATCGATCGTCGGAAGGCGTTCACTTATCAATTATCACCATAGATCAATTCGAGAACCTGAAGAACGCGATATACATCTTAGCGCATAAATCAATTTAAAGAAAAATTGCGCCAACAAAAAGTAATATTTCATGTTTGGAATAATCGACAGAGACTATTTTGCAAAAAATATGTGCCTACTTTAGGATAGAAAGGAAAGACTTCGAATATTTGTCTCTCTCCGTTTCCAAGTCGTGTAATTATATCGATTGTTTGAATTCTAAAATGTTGTATATTTTATATATATATATATATATATATATATATATATATATATATATATAAGGAAAAAATGCGCATGTAAACAGAATATAATCATCGCATTCTCCGGGTTGCCTCTTTTAGCGCCAATCGAGATAAGAGAGAGAGAGAGAGAGAGAGAGAGAGGTACCTAGGCAAAAGACACAGACGCTTCGTAGACGTTCAAGATTTAATTAAACGTTAATTTAAACGTTATTTACGATTAAACATGAAGAAGACACATAAATCGTCTTTGTTAATTTTTTTTTCTTGTGCGCTTACACATTATGGACGTCGGAAACAGGGATGTGATGCGCGCCGAGTGATGCCTGTACTCTTCTCCGAATCATACGCAAATTCCGCCTCTCTCCCGTTCCCGTATATAATCGTTCTACTTTACAGCAATATAAAAACAGTTATTTACATCGACGGCTAGGAGGATTCGAAAACGATGAGAATGCCGAGAGGAAACTCAGACGTCTAGAGATTTCCCTCGCCTCCTGAATGAATGTGCGTGTGACATGTACGTGTGAGAATGAGCGTGTAAAGTCTCGATCTTTTTGCTGAAAGGAAAAAAATGTCCAGGTGACGTAAAAATCAAAAAGTGAAACGGTTCTTCGCGAAAATAAAGTCTTTCCGAACAAAATCAACGTTGTCGTCTATTATACATCGCACTTGATTATAATCGACTTGCATTTAAAATCGTAATGTTATTTTATATTCTTTTCGAGATTGACTTTCGCGAAACGCATCGCTAAAAAGATCCGCGTGCGAGCTGTCACTTTGATCGCATGTGAGCTGTCACTTGATCGCACGTGAGTTGTCAGTTTGATCGCACGTGAGCTGTCAGTTTGATCGCACGTGAGCTGTCACTCGGATCGCACGTGGCGATTTTCGCGAAACTTTCGTGACGCGCTAAAGGGGAATATCGCGTTTGATTGACCGTTAATTAATTAGATCGGGGTGAGTATCGGTCTTACGACAAAAGGCTCAGGTAAAACGTCAGCAGGCATCGATCGACTTTGAGAAAAAAATTCTTAACGCTCTTATTTTTTTTCTTTCTCAACCCGTCAAACTTGTTCGCGAACGTTGAAAATTTAATCGAAAAAAATGTCGAACGAGATTGGATATATCCGCGAAAGAAAAATCAACTCTGATCAACGCGTTCGAACTTTGACATTTGCGAAAAATGTAGTCTACACACGCTGCGCCGAATCGTATATGCGTGTATAAAGCGAAGAACGAACGCGAAAAGATTCCGTGAGATATATTTTTATCGGCGCACATATGAATCGGTAACGTGTAAATATCCTTGGGAATAAAACGCGGCTGCGAGATGCAAAACGTGGGTCTTTATAAACGCATAAACCGACACGCAGCAAGCCGCAACGCTTCTATATACGGCAAATAACGTGACGGATTTGGCTTGGTATTTAGTGTGTGTCGAAAGAGCTCTTTTCTTTTTTATTTAAAAAAATCGATGTCTGAGAAATGGTGTTCACAATAATATAGTACAACAACGTAACGGTATTACATATAGGTAATATATATATATATATATATATATATATATATATATATATATATATAATATTTATATATAATTTTATATTTATATAATAGGTAAAATTCTTCTTTACCACAATAACATGGCTATATACAAATATTACAAATTTCTTTCATTTTTAAGCCCTCACGGATCGACGCCGCAGGATCGATCTGGCGCGAGACTAGGCAGCGACGTTTTTCCAGATTCGCTGCTTACTTTATCTTCTTTAATTGCACGTTACAACAGGCTTGCGATTTTATTAATCTTAAGCCAGTCTCTCTTCCCCTCAATGCGATTAAACAGAGGGAGAAAGAGACAGAGAGAGAGAGAGAGAGTGTGTGAGAGAGAGAGAGAGAAAGAGAGATAATACTTGTCTTTAGGATGTGTAAAGAAATAGATGATACAAGAGAAAAAAAGAAGAAATGAAGAAAATTGAAAAACTTATATAAAAAGTGTGAAATTTTAGAGATAGAAGGATGCAGAAGGAAAGGAGAGATTAGATCTATTTCAGCTTCGTATAACACGATGTAAGAATATGAATTTACACGTTTATGCGATTGAAGCGTTTCTAAAGTCTTCCTGAGAGAAGTTACTTTGATCGTGCTACGTTGTATCATCGTTTCATTGATCTATTTGATTAGATTAGGAAATACGACACAGAGAGATCTCATCTCACCATTTTCTACTCTTCAAACGAGATTCGCCTTGGAAAATTGATTTGTCAACCTACAAAATTTTCCAAATTGTAAAATGTGCCAAATAAAAAAATACAAAGTCAATTACGAGATTATACATTCGAATTTGAATTTGCAGGAGCAAAAGATAAACTTGTATCGATCTGTATCACGCAGATAAATTCATTTTGTCAATTACGAAAAATCATCTTTTTTAAATACGTAACATGCATCCCCCGGCATCGTGTATCTTTTCGAGTTACAAGCAATTTGAGATAAAAAATCATTTTTCTTTGTGACGAATTAAATTTTATTGCAAACCGTACCATTTTCTCTCTCTGACATTCGATATATTTGCCAAGAAAAACAAAATCAGAATTCATCAGAGAATTTATAAGCGAGAGAAGATGCTCGATGCCTCTCTGAGAAAGCACTGTGTATGTCGCGCTGATAAGAGAAGGAAAGAGATCATAATATAAAAACATGTATATAGCTCGCTGCAATCTTTGAAAGGCCGATGACTCGATATAGTTATAGTTACATTCTCATTCATTAAGATTAATGCGAGCTGAAATTAGTGCTGTCAGACCGTATTACTTATCTCATTTCACAATCTCTTGAGCGATCTGATAAAATATGCAAGTTTAGCACACGTAATATACTTGCGCGATTAGAAAAGCAGCTGTTTTGCCAATCTTTCATTTCGATAAAAAAAGATTGCTTGTTTTAAGTGCAACTGCGAAATCACGTGCAAATATTGCAAAATTACTTATCTTTATGTTTTCTTTTTCCCAATACTAAATTGATACATAATAATTATACGCGAATAATTTTTTTTCTCATCCGTTTAATTACATTCTAAATAAACTTTTAAATTTTAAGTGTGATTTAAATTAACATATTTGACTACCTTAATTGTTTATAATTTTTGATAAAAATTGCAAAATGTAAAACTACAATCTTTCAATATTAAACAATCAAATTATAATTTATTTTAAGCAAATTAAAAAACAAACAATTGAACTAATGGTTTTCACAAAAACGTTATATAAAAATTGATTAAAAAATTTTAAATTTAATCCAAAAAACGTTTTATATAACTAAATTTATTTAAACAATTTTTTTTTAATTAATATATCTTAATTTTTTTCAAATGCACTTGCCTTCGCTTAATTAAAGATCTTGCAAATTGCATGACACTAATTTCGCTTAATTGATAGTGCAGCGCTTAATGCGATATCTCACGTGATTCTCTTTTTGGTATGCTTATCCGTTGCACACTCTATCCTTTGCATCTTGACAGCTTTGAATATTCGAAAGACAGCAAATGTATTGTTTTTCGCGCGAGATACATGTTAGATACGAGATAATAATAAACCTGTCTTCTCTCTGAAGATTTCGCAAATTAAGATTCTGCGCTCTTTATATTTCCCTTGCGAGCTTTTACTTTTTTTCTTTTACAATGACAAATTGACGTGAACGATCTTGGTTAACATTTAACTTGGTTTAAACCTTATGTTAAACGACCGATGATCATATACATATGTTTATATTGCACGATTATGAGTCAATAGAGTACGATCTTACAATCTACGACGAATATCTACGCTCTTTTGGCACCTCTTGCATTTGCGTATACGCGGACGAAACTTGCGAGTGAGAGAGAGAGAGAGAGAGGGGAAGAAAGATAGAGAGAAAGAGAAAGAGAGAGAGAGAGAGCAAACAGGGGAGAGAGAGAGAGAGAGAGAAAGAGAGAGAACTTCATCTACTATGATAAAACTTTTGGACATATCGATGATTCAAAAATTCTCTTGTGGTCACATTAATCACATTTTAAATATGTAAAGATTATCGTTAAGTTTCTTCTCCGTCGAGAGAGGTACCGCTTTTCCGTTCTGCGTAAAAAAGTTCCCGTAGACACAAAGTGACCGATAGCGAGATAGTAAATTTAAGGAGAGATTCATCTCTCCTCTGTTACACTTCGTTACTTACCAGAACTTTTTTAGCGCCGAAAAAATTCCGAGCACATTGATCACCCATTGCAGACGGAGGATGATCTATATTTATAAGATATGAATATGTACGTGTATGTGTCCCTGTGTTATTTAGCGATAGCAAATTCGCCTATTTCTCATTTTATGTCCGTTCAAATTTCAATCTATTTTTAATGTAGGATGAAAGAGAAGATGTGTGTATATATGTATGCACTCGGTTGGCCTCACAGGCTAAACGCTACTTTTGCAGATTCTCGCAGCCTGATTCTCGCATTGCTAATCGCCCTACACACACATTGTGTCTTTATCTAGAACGAAGAACTCTGAATGTTTATCGAGAAAGGTATGGTACGCTACTCACGACATGTATAGACACAAGGATCGTCATCTTGATTTCATCGTCGATTATATCCTTAATTCTCGCGCTCGATTAATTATATCAAACGCGCGTATAAAGTATAGTATATTACTTTCAAAAAACAATTGACAAAATCGCCGAGGGTACACGCATTATAACATTTTTTCTATCTGCTCGTTATATTATTACTGCGCGTTTACTCGCAGCAAAATGTATTAATAATTCAAATGATAATTATATAAGCATTCTCCGGAAAATGACAAATACAGAAATTGTTATTATCAATAGTAACAGGATTGCACGCCTAGAGAAACGTATGGGAGAAACCAGTTTCTGAAACTCTTACGCAGTCTTCTCGTTAAGATTGCCCTTGAATTTCTTAGACTTATTGTTAGCCAACTTCAGTATCACAGATTCGATATTTGTAATTTTCGATGGCGAAAACAATCGAGCCTAAACATTTGATCAATAATACAATCCTGTATTGTTTAAAAGTTTAAAATAACTCGCTACTGTATCGCGAGTATGATATTAAGCGAGAAAGAGAAAAACGTAATGAATTCCCTACGGATAGACTATATATATTATTAACGTAAAACGTTCATGATCGTAAACTGCTGCTCGCAAGGATATAATGAGGAAAAGGAAACAAAAAATCTAGATTACTGCTGGCGTGTACCGCCGATAGGCATCTCCCTCCTCTCTCACTTCTATGTCTTTATACGATTTTTTTTTAATACGCTCCTCCGTCCAGAAGCGTAATCGATCGTAATCTTCTCTAAACTTTAAATTGGCCTAAACGGTAGATTACTTTACTATATAATTGCATTATGATAAAAGCATGTATAAATCAGTAAACATTTTCTTTTGTGCTTCTTAGAGATCATACATGATACAATGTACAAAGTAGTGTAAAATAAAAAAAGGGTTAATAAAGATTTTTTTTATATTACTTAATCGTCAAGTAACGGTTTATCACGAGCGGGAGACAACTTTCATTGACCACTGACTTGTTTCCAGAAAATGTCTCGAAAGATTTTTTCCGCGCGCGAATATATATTAACTATTAATTAAAAAATAAAAAAAACATTACAGATCTCCAATCATTTATTATGCACGAGTCGCGTGATAAAAAAGAGTGCGCGCCATTAAAACAAGATAAAAATATTCGCATATAATCTATGTATATATATATATATATATAAATTCATCTATAATACAACATATAAATAAAATTTACTAAAAAAATGTTATTATTTATACACATATATTGATGCGCTATTGAATTCCCTGCAAATCTGTCAGTGCCCAAGAAGTATCCCAGTATATGTCAAAGTGTCTTAAGAATTAATCGCGACACCAGGACAGAATTTATTTTATCCTACACAATAGTCGATACGGGAGTGTTTATGTGTTTGTGTAATGTGTGTTGGTAAATGTGTAAAATCTCTTCCTTTAAAGTCGATCTAACCTAAAGTGGGCTTCGGCGCTGGAATCCGATATGACCATCGTAGGGTCGGCGAGCATTTGTAGACCGTCCACGTCGATTGGATCGAGACCCTGTCTAAGGGCGTCGTCCGATGGGAACATTTCCGGGTCAAAATCGCCCATCATTGCCGTACCGAGGTCCTTCACGAATTCCGGATTCGTGAGATCGTCCGCACCAGAGAAATCTGCAACACGATATTATCGAGAAGTAGAAAGGGTAGGAAAGAGAGAGAGAGAGATTTCACCATTTTATCGTCAAATTACACACGCCTACACACTACAATTATTTATGAACTCGAAATAAATTGTTTTCTGCATTTTTTATTTTGGTTAAAGCATAAGCTGCAGATACAACGCGTGAATTTTTGAGATGTATTTTGAACATTCTTTATGGATAAAAATTAGTTTTGAAATATTGGAAAAAAAAATATGCAACTTTTATTCCCGGGATAATGGATGAAACGAGGGAGATATTTCACGTGTTGCCACGCAAACGCGTAATAATTAAAAATTCATGGCACGTTCTCCGCGGAGAATAAATACCTGTGAGAATGATCGTAGGTGTGTTTGGAGTTTGCGGCGTGAGCTGCTGAGTAGCGGTGGTCGTTGCAGGTTGATACCCCATTTGAGGACTCGTGCTGAAGTAGCCCGCGTCCCCGCTGCCTAATTCGCCACCGACATTAATCATGTCGTTCTGAGAAGCAGATAACAGTGAGGAATTTAGTGCGTGAATAAAAGATGTATGCGTAAAACAAATCATTTTTTTCATTTTTTTCTCTTTGAACATTAGGTCTGTTCTTCTCAACTCAACTGACTATACAAGTAAAAAAGATAAATTCTGAATTAGTGCAACCAGTAGATCGCTATCTATTTTACTCCACATTGGAAGGGAAGCGATTTAATAATAGGTACACATATTCATTCAGATGACATCTGAACATCCTCTGAACGTCTTTCGGATATGTTGTGCCGTTAGGAATAAACTTTGAATTAATGCAGCCAGTTTAGAGTTAAACAGAACAGACCTATTATAACAGTGGTTTACAGAAATCCCATTTCTGGATGATTTTGTTCTCACCTGTGTGTAATTTGTAGTATGATTCGGTGATCCGATATACGTCCCGATCGTGTTCGCCTGCACCGGCGTGTCCATCTGAAGTAGAGAAGAAAAAAAGAAAAAGATCATGGATGAGTCTCGTAAAGTGAAAGAACCTCGCGGAAATATGACAAAACTGTTACAGTCTAATCCGATTCGGTCTTTAACGCGACGTTGATTCATCTGACGCGCAACGCGACCCCCGTCCCTTATACATAAATGCTTTTTATAGAACGATATCGCGGGAGGGAAAATAGCGGAAGAGGAGCATGAAAAGAAGAAATGCGCAAGTACATTGCAGCATCGAAGCAGCCGGTGTAAACACTCGGGTACTCGCGTTCGTCTTCGAATCTCCGGCACAGATCGCCCGTTATCTTCTTCTCCTCGACTTTCGAATCTATTACGGCATTAGTTACGGTTCGATTTCCGGATACTTCGTTTCGCTTAATAGCCTTTGTCAAATGAAATCCCCTTTTCGCTTCCATAGTACGGCATTCGTAAGGAGCTTATTTGCCTCGTCCTATTACACACGTTATATATCTCCCCCGTTATTTCGCTATTCTCGCCTCCTCGATTTTTTGTTACCGAATTTATTCCACCAATATTTATCCCGAAATTCACGATTCTTCTATACCGAAGAGAGGAAAAGTGAGTTATAAAACTCCGCTCTCTGCAATTATACTAAACGATATTGGATATAACGATCGGTAGTTTGCGCGAATATAAGGCTGCGGATTTGGGGCTTTGAGCTGCCCTTTTTTTTTATATATACAATAAAAAGTCGTAAAACCACGTCCTTTTCTCTATTAAGCCGATGAGCTGGGCGTTAATATCAAACGGCCACTTATGTACGTGTAACTGCGTGAGGGAGCGAAAAGAGGATAAACTGATCGCGCGTTAAATGATTCTTCTGAAGGCGCATTACGATACGCACTTTTGCCGTACAGTTTCCGAATTTCCGCATCGCCCGATTATTTATTAGTCTACGTTCTCTTAATGAACATTTTATACCGGGAATCCGCACGACCATGACGCATTCTTTTTTCCCGTCCCGTTCATTTTGTTCTTTCGACGCGGCGAAATGTTTTAAACATCAGCGTACATACACGCACACCGAGTATGATATATTTCATTCGAGAGTAATATTTTCGCTTAATTCGCGAATATATATATATATATATATATATTTCAGGCTGGATCTGATATTTCTTCGCCGTTGCAGTGCGTGCAAATGCGAGTTTCACGCACGAGAATACATTTGACGCGTGCATATTCAACACCGCTGTTTGAAAGCGCCGTGAAAGAAACACGGTACTTGAAAATTAGCATTTTTTATACTGATTAAATAGCGTGTATAAAACAGTGTCATTAATCATACATCTCTCTCTCACTCTCACTCTCTCTCTCTTTCGTTCTCGCGTAAGATTTAATAAATAAATATTAAGAGAGACGATGACTTTTCTATACTCGATCTTTTACACATACAAATGCATATAAGTAACAAGTAATAATTTATTTTATGACTCGGAGAATTTTGCTTTTTGTAGAAAGGAGCATGCGATAATATGTGGGGGAAAATTATTCTTAATACCGAACTTGCACAAATAAATATGTTTCAACTAATGGCGATATTTCACCTCTATCTGCGTGGTCCAACCGAGTTCCATCAGCTGTTGCGCGAATTTCGGCCACTCCTGAATTATGAATGCAGGCAACAGATAAACAGCAAGACTTAAGACATAAGTCTATATAGGCAATATATACATAATCAAATGTAATTATCCGTCTTTTGTCTTTTTTTTTTTTTTTATAACGCTAGTTTCGATAAAGACCTGTTCTTACAAAGATGCGATCGCGATCCTAATTAATTATGATTTACAATTAATTTTCTATCAAATGCATCTCTTTTTCTCTACCTTTCGTTGATTAAAAAAATATCGAGAATCATAATTTGACGCTTTGAAGAATGGAAGATTTGACGATGTAACTGATTAGAATACCAAGTGTCTCCTGAGTCAGAATAATTCATACGAATCATTCGCTTGGAATAATTCATCGCGTAGCATTAATTATAGCTTTGAAGGCCAAATCTCGCCTGAAGAGGAATAATGTTAAAATTCACGAAACCGATCGGCTTGTAAAGCGGCGACTCGAAATTCCGTACGAAAAATATTACATTGCTGACATTAATTGAAATGTGTAAATGAGAACTTTGTATAAAAAAGAATGTCAAATTTTTAAGATTGCAAAGCCAATTTGGAACACAATCATTTTTTTTATAATTCCATCCAAATTTCGGTATATTGTATTTGCATTTCTTTTTCCTTCTTTTACCCTCGCTATACGTTAAGTATAAACACCTGATCGTCAGATACTTACCATTCCCTTTGACATGCATAAAAAACATTGAGCGCCATTTAAGATTGTGTATCTTTTAATTAGTCATAATTGATGGATTGCACACGTAATTTTTATATAATCAATATTGAATCAGGAGAGGGGGAAAGTCAAAGAGAATTATATATATTTTTAGCGTCTCCGTATCTTGTTACGCGAGCAATTGGAATAAAAAAAAATTCATTACGACGGTCTGTTTCGATTTAAAAGTATCGATTGCTTTTATCAGCAATATTGAAATGAAATGCGCGAGTATTTCTAAAGTTACGCTCGTGCGCTCGTGTATACCTATTATAAGTGTTATAGCATGCAAAACGCTCTATCTCACTCTCGCTCGCTCTTTCTCTCTCTCTCTCTCTCTCTCGCTCATTTTCTTTGCGGAAGCCCGAATGCAATTATGCGCGCTGGAGTACCGTGTAAAAAGTGCAATACGTGCGTCTTATGTTCCAATCGCGAATATAGTGTAAGATAGGCGGATTGAGACAAAGTCTAACGATGGCGCGTCGAAAATCTCTAAACGAAATCTCATTTGTGAAGACAGCCTGTCCCAGAGAAGACAGGAATTATACGAGGTGAATCGGAAAACGTAATGCAACTGAAAAGGGAGTGATTTCTTTTACGAAAATAAATCGAAAATGTAGAATAAATTTTTCTCTATATACGTTTCCTTTTTGAAGAAACTAAAAATTGAAAAATTAATCACTTTACGCTTTTTCATTTCTCGAACGACTTTGCGTATTTTATCGAATTTATATCGATAAAATATGTATTTGAAAAAATATAATATTCTCTCCATTGGAAAAATAAAATTGATATATTTAGCACTTTATACATATAACTTCTGCGGTGCTTGAATTATTTTAAATCATTTTATTGAAAAAATTTGGAAATGTGTACTTTGATATTTATAATCGACGTAAAATTATTAGAAATTAAATTAAAGTTTAAAAAAAGCGTGTTATATTAATTTTATAAATTTCAAAATTAATTTTCTTATGTATGAAAATATTTTATATTTTATTCTACATTTTTGAATTATTTTTGAACAAGAAATCACCTACTTTTCGATTAATTTACTTGTTCCAATTCATCTATAACCTTCCTTATCCTTACGACAAAGAACTTCGATGAACAAAGATAAAAATGTCGAATGTATACAACTAGACCAGTGGCTGATATATATCGATCGATTATTTCCGATAACTTGAAAAAAAGATGTAAATTTGTCTTCTTTCCTGAATAAGATTGTCAAGTAAGTCAATTTAAATTTGATTAAGCTTTAAAAGATTACAACTGTCAGAACATGCTCTATGTAAAATTTAAAAGTTATTTTCGGAGATGTTTGTCCACGCGACACCTTTTGCGAACTCAAATACACATCAGTCCCTCTTTAAAGTCACATGCTTATAAATAAATAAATCGCTCACGTACCATTGTGAATTGTTCGAAATCCTGTTGAAGGGCCGCCGCTTGTGCCTGATTGATAAAAAAATTCTGATCGATAGCGTCGGACGTCAAGCTGGGCGGACCCGGATGTCCTGTAGGACTAGGCGGCGCCGATGGATTATTGCTGTAGCTCAAAGGACTTCCCTGAAACAGGAAATGCACGCTGCTTTTAGACTTGTGCGCGAAGAATCATTATTACGCGCTAAAATAAAGCTTATCTCGTGAGATTAATTAAATTAAATCGTACAGTCTTTCGCATTTATTATTATTAAAAATTGATGCAATCTACCGATAATTTTATATACGAGATGATTTCTCTCACTTGAACTGTTAGACTAGGTGACGATTGCGGCGAGGGCCTGTTCACCGATTGCGTGGATCTGTACGATCCCAACGAATTGAGCTGTTGCTGTGTTTGTTGATGCTGTTGATGTTGTTGATGTTGTTGATGCTGCTGCTGTGACGTTTTCTAAATATCAGGCATCAACGAGAAATGATAAATTATTATTAGCAGCGATTACTTGTGTAAATTTGGTTGTACAATAATATCAAAACTAATAGTAAACGTAACATTTCTTTTACATTTCTCGAATCAAGATAATTTTACAAAGAAACTCAAATTTTGCGGCCAATATCTAGTCGCTTGTCAGATATTTAAATACATAAGTAAAAAGAACATGTGTGTAGACTGCGATATACAGACACTTGTCTAAGTACTTCGTAATGCAATGTCGAGTATTATTTGCGGACACGTATTTATACGGGGAAGATAGAAATTTCCGAAAAGAGCGATACTAACTGGACTTTGCGGCGGCACAGGACTGTGCGATTGTTGATAAATGTAGTGGCCGGCAGTCGGGTTGTGAGACGTCACCGTCGGCGCCGGTTGCTGCGGATAGCTCTGAAGATCCTGTTGCGAAGTACTTGTGCTGTTTTCCAGTGCCACACCCTGCTTCATACCCATCGCTATTAACGATCGATCGTCGCTCTGTCGCCTCTTTCGTTTTGCTCTCTCTCTCTCTCTCTTCTCTCTCGCTCTCACTCTCACTCTCTCTCTCTTTTTTCTCGCGCTTTCTCGTAATTAGACTCAACTCGATGGACGCTACATAGTCGCAGCAGGCTCGCGATAATCGATCTCTACGTCGTTGATTACAGCATCGGACTTGCGGAAGCGGTTCGCCGCAACAACTGAGTTGCTCTATTAAATTGCTAGCAAATGATTCGGGCACACGACGATTAATTTCGAGAGGATGAGTTAGAGTTTTACGAACTCTGCTCGCGCTTCTGGCGATCAGGAAACGATCACGTTTCGAAGCAATAAAGACTCCGAAGTAAGAAAGATATACATTTAGGGAAAGTGTTGGTTGAAATAGAAATTCTAATTTGGCCAAATTCATGTCTTTGAGAGGGTCACTTTCTTAATAAGTATCCACGTTCTCGATCGTCAAAAGACGCGGTATCGTACATCAGAGAGCGTCAATTGTTATGTTACGACGCAAAAAGATGAATGATTCACGTGAATGCAAGAATTATCTTCGTGCAATACTTATCCCTTCCTTCTGCCAAATCGCAATTATTCCCGCATTATTCTCTGCTTCGCGATTATTTTCGAGCCCGTTGCGTTGGCGAACCGATTATACGCTATTGCTATATACGCGCCGAGCTATCGATCGTGTTTCGATTGTTTATCTGCAAGCTCAGTGCTATAACAAGCAAAAACAGTAAAAAAAAAAGAAAAAACGCCGACAGCTTTTTGACGGCCATCGTGCGACTAAGAGGCAGCAACACAAGCGTAATACCATGATATTACATACGTTCGTGATAGCTGGTAAAAACTGGTGTGACTACTAACCTTACACGTGTGAAGAAACCTAGAGTTAACAGGCACTGATAAATGGTTCTGCAAAATAACAAACACAAACAACCACTACAACAAAGGCAAGATAAAAAATAAATAGAAAATTAAGAGAGACGACGCGTCGATAGAGAGAGAAAAAAAGAATATGCGCAAAATTTCGTTTGAACTTTTTCGTGATTCTGTCACCGAAATTGTCACGTCCTGATATTAACAAACGGGAAACAAGCGGCAAGATAAAATTGCGTTAAAATTGCCCGATAGATCTTTTTTCTTTCTTTTTTCATTAAAAATTTGTCGCGAATTTACTTTACAATTTACATAATTTTCCGCGATTACGATCGAAATTATCGAACGAAATATTAAATTTCGTATTAATAATATCAGGACGCATTTAGATAACAAATGCTCTCCGCAGCGTGCTATACAAGTTTCGTTTTGCCGCACAAGTTCACAACTTAATGCTATAACCGCGCGCAACATTATATTCTCATCGCATTACACGTTAACCATCAGGTAATTCATTAAAACAAAACAAAAAAAAAAGAAAATATATATTCAACTACAAAAAACTGCGTGTTTGAACATTGAAAAGGCATTGCGCGGATTACATTTTCGTGAAAGAAACTTGAGAATTTTTCTATGTTTAAAAAGCAACGGCGACCTCGAAATAGCGATACTGAAAGCAATCCAATTACATGCGAAGATTACTACTGAAGGTGTATCGTTTGCATCTACGTACTAAATGTGATGTTTGATGTTTCTCGCGACAACGTGATATTTTTAAAATTTTCTCTTTTACTTGCGCGCAATCTATACCGTTCATTTCTCTTATCGATTACACTATATATATATATATTGTTTTCTGAAAGCAGTTGCAACACCTCAAGAAATTCTGACGCTATTCTAATTGAATCGTCTAACATTTAAAAAAGCACAATAAAGCATAAAGAGTGTTGTTCTCATGCAACCATTGCATCTTCTAAGTTCACATTTTCCAACGAACAATATAATTTCACGGAACCGAGGTAATATTCTCTTATCGCGATTATTTCTTTAAGAATCGTATACGTTTCTCAAATATGTATCGTGTACTTTGTTTATTTTACATTTGAAGAGTACACGCTATATATAATTGCATAAAAAATGTATACTATAGCTTTAGATATATTTAGAACTGCGAAAAATACATTCACCTCGATTCCGTAATCTGCCAATACGAAATATCCGAGCAATCGAGCGTCATTTCGTAAACTTAATTAAGTCTGGTGAGCAACATATCCACGGGAAGTTTTCAGAAACAGATGCTAATAGTCTTCAGGGGAGCTATTATTTAACTATTTACGATTCCGATCGAAAGCGTGAGTTTCCGATTGATGAATTCCGTCGCAAATTTAATCGCGATTCCACTCGTTTCTTTATTATTCTCTTCATTATTGTGACTCTTTGTCGAGAATCGAGCCAATCTGAGCCAATCATGCTTTGATTTAAGTGATAATTTTCATTTTCACAATAATCTCATTTCGATCGGAATTGAGTTTTCGCATTTCGGATTTTATTCGCGTATTTGTAATAAATTAAGTAATAAAAAGACCAGGATTATTCCGATCGGAAACAATTCCGAAGAGAAGGATAATAGCTCCCCAGATTTTCGAGAATTATTTCGGATATCTCGTATATTGTGCAACATTTCTACGGCAGCGGTTAATTGAGGTCTACGATTCCATACGCGAGACGAAACCTTTAAACAAGAATGACAAACTTTAAGTTTTTTAGGGGGCTAAGTAAATTGAAAAAAAAAAAAAAAGATTTCTCGAATTCGTGTCGCTCGTAATTAAAAAGCCGCTGCAACAGTAACAGTATAGGCACAATCTACAGTAATACGGGGTCGCGAGGATATTTACTTGGACGCTTGACGGATCCTGTGAAAAGGACAGCCTACCAGCTTGTGCCAAGCTGGTCGGCGACAGGTTTGTGGGACTGCTCGTTTGAGGACTCTGGAATATACCAGCGGTTCGACCATTTCAAAAAAAGATTTCCGCATATTTTTAAGTTTGTTAAGTCCTACTTGTCTACGAGTCTGTTCGTACAAAGTTGCGCCTCGCTTCGTTTATGTGATGATTTAAAAAAAATATATATGTATATGTAATATATATGTGTATATATATGTATATATATATATGTGTGTGTGTGTGTGTGTGTGTGTGTGTGTGTGTGTGTGTGTGTGTGTGTGTGTACGTATATATGTATATACGAATATACGAGATGAACGCGAATGTCGCGAAAAAGAGAGAACCGCGGGAAAAAACATTCGCGATGTGAATAAACAATTACAATATCGACATCTGCTTTTTAACTCTTCTCTAATTGGCTATTCTTTCGTCGGCAGTATCAATTGTAGTACGTTAAGTTAGTTAAACGATTTCGCTCCGCTCAATACAAAAGAAAATTGCTTAATATCGACGATATCGCCGCTCTTTCTAAAAATAAATAAATGTTTTTCCGTAAATAGAAAACGTATATATGCTATCAGCATATCTTTAAAAGCTTGCAATAAAATTTATCAGATTTTCCACGCAATAATACAGATATTAGATAATATTATAAAACACATATATACAGAGTACCCCACTTAACTTAAGCACCTTAAATACATTCCTTAAATATCTCACTTATTTTTATGATATTAAAAAATGTCAGAGAAAAACAATATTTGTTGGAAAGGGACAAATGATAAACAATTTTCTTCCAGATTATTTTTCAAGATATTTTTTAAATAGAATTTTAACCTCAGCTATTATAATGCGATAGTAAAAATCCTATTTGAAAAAATATCGATAATCTTGAAATTCTGAAAACCATGACCTTAGGAAAAATTAATTTTTTCTTTCTAAAGAAGAGGCAAATATTTCGTATCATCCGCAACAATTTAAAGTGCTCAAGCAAGACAGGATATCCTGCATATGATAAATATAATATCTCGTCTAATTTTTGTCGAGATAAAATCTTAATTTATCCAAGAATTCGAACTGAGTAAATTAGAGATACCCTATACTCAAATGTCAATCTTTTATTCAACAAAAAACTGCAAATCAAGAGAGAGATTAAAAGCTTCTGATCTGTATATATCTAAAGTTAACTGATAAAATATCGAGGCGTTGTCGTATATAGACCAGACGGATTAAATTATCCGTTAAATGCCAACGCGCGAGTAATGTTATTTATTTCTAGAATCTATTTGGCGATTGTATATTCGCGAGAGCAATAATCAAAATATTTTCGTGTTTCTTATTTGACACGTGCAAAATCTCTCGGAGGAATATATCCGTGTGTATATATGTATATGTGTGTGTGTGTAAGCGCGAGCCGATAATAGACGCGTATTAATAGTATTATTAACACTCGCGCAAACTATCCTTAGTTACTACGCTATCGTCGTTACGTACGGATGTCGTTTTGGCAGATACTTTCTCCGAGAGAGTCAAAGATAGATAAGAAAATAAAAAAAGAAAAAAAAGAAAGAAACGACGCTGTAAAAGCTGATGAAGACTCGTTCAGAAACGTGCAGCCTCGCGTAAAGTGCGTAAGTAAGATCGAGCGGAAAGGAAAAGAGAAAATGTTATTATATATTTTTATATAGTCGATATAGAGATATGTTAGCGATAATGTGATCGATCGAAGAAACTTACGTTGCTGAACGGCGTACTACTCGAATGATCCTCCTGATCCAGAGGAGTGTGAAGGGGTGATGGGAAGTGTACGTTGCTCAAGTCGGGCAACGACCCCGTGTTGTTGCCTATCGGTATTTGCTGTCCCGGTGGTTGCGAGCTCGGGTATATGCTGAAACACGGAAAATTTCGCGAGAATTGCTAAATTAACGCACGAAACCAAAATGGAAGAGAAAACGAACAACGCACATTTTATATCGAATTTGATATCCACGAATATCGACGCGCAAAAAATGTCGTAAAATTGATTGTGTATTCGATTGAAACGGGAGCACTTCCATGTTCGACAAAAAAAAAACGTGATTTTTGTTTAAATATTTGAAAGTATTACGTACTTAATCCCAGGCACTCTAGGCATTTCGCACGAGGATCTTGGTCGTTCGATGAAGCCGTGATGAGGGTCTCTGTTGTCGCTTCCGCTTCCGGTCATAACGTGTTGATCTGTTAATTACAGAACGCAATTTATAAAGCTTCGTAAATCGCGTAAAAACTTGTGAATAAAAGATATTAATGCGCCGCTCGCAACAAAAATTGAGAGTCCATATTTTTATTCCACATTTTCTTCCTTTATACTTTGAAGTTATATACGTAATACTGAATATAAAATTGTCATTTTGGTACAGCATTCTTCCCGTTATGGTTGTGCAGTACGCATGTGTTTCTCAAACTAGCTATCCAATTTCTATACGAAACCGCAACGTAATACACTTACTAACGTTACTATCGTATAATATTATATTTCACATGCCTCGTCTAGCGTAAAATCACTCTGTTGACTTTTGTGATTTATATCTACGGAATTTTGATAGCTTTTACCAAAAATGTAATGCACTATCACTGCTCCAAAAATTGTGCGAGTCTCGTTGGCAGCGAAAGATAAAAACCAGAATTTTATTTAAAATTAATTCAACTATTATATCATATATATAATAAAATAATATTAATTCTCGATGTTCTCAATGAAATGAATATTTTGAAAGTCAATTCGGAATGATAATTCAATTTTACAAACTTCACACTTGTCCGGCATAAATTAGAAGCGTCTATAATTAGTTTCGCGAATGCAGGACGTAAATTAAGCCGCAAGAATTTCGGATTTATAGTCCGAAGTCGCAAAAGCGGATTACGCTGTGTGTGCGCTTCAAAGGCAAACTTGCAAGAGGTCTGACAGGTCTTTGCAAAATTCCGTAGGTAGTCGCTTAAGGGAACGGAACGATATATAACAAGGTAATATGGTAATGACGGAATTTCCGAGCCGAGCCATTCGTGAAATCGTGTCTAAAAAGAAGCTTCGCGAAGACGACGCTATTTTACACGAACGGCTAAGCAACGCTTCAGAAAAAACACTGCACATTATTCCTTTCACACGCGAATACTTGATCGTCCTCGAATCCTTACACTGGAGAGAATGGAAACGTCATTTTTTCCCTTCGCGTGGAAAAAATAAAATATCATGCAAAATATCGTTATCATTATTATATACGATGCGCCATTTTACCAGTCTTGAGTAAGACTGTATATAAATTATACAGATTGCATAAATTATTTATTAACGGTTGATAAAACGATATTTGTACAACGAGTTTTACTTAGGACGACTTTGATTAATCGCCTTTCCCTTTATAAACAAACTACTGAACGACTGTAAAAGGGGAATCATCTTCGAAGAAGTGTGATACTTTTGACAGAATTTAGATAAGATAAATCGGATGTTTCTCAACGCAGTGATACATGGATATCGAATTGTATGAATATATATATATATATATATATATATATATATATATATAGAGAGAGAGAGAGAGAGAGAGAGAGACGAGTCGCGTGTTTTTATTTACGAAGGAAATACTCGAAGAAAAAAATAGATATATTATATAGATCCAAGGCATTATAATTTCAGCAGATAAGAGAGTGCTTCGATGAAACGTTACATGCTTGCGCAAGATATCCCGCCATCTCGGCAGATACGCAATCGACAAACATATAAATGTATATACACACACGATGGATTTTCCATAACTTTTCTCACAGCATCCGCCACGAGAGGGAGAGAAAGCGCGCGTGTGTCTCTATTTTCTCTGTATCAAAACAGGTTTTACGCCATGCGAATAAAACTTGGAGAACCGAGATATGCGGTGAGACTATATTTTCTATAAGAGAAAATAAAAGACAAACTTGAAAATTTTATGGCTTAGTTTCAACATGTTTCCAAAGTGGAGATCAATGAGCAAACAAAATAATACTATCAAAAGTCTACGTTCTTATTTTCATAGTTTGAAACTCATTCGACTATGTTGAAACAAATTCTTGATCTCTTAAATAGGTTTCGGATAAAAAGTACCGTTATTTTCGTATAAATTCTCTCTCATGTTAATACTACACAGAGAGAATGTTCTCTTAGAAATCTGAAAATTATGATAATCGTGAGACAATATGGTATTGGAAGAATTTTGTAAGAGTTTTTCTGAGTTTTAATATTTACCGCAATAAAAATATTAATATCTACTACAATAAGATATAAAATATATGTTCGATTAATTTTACTGTATATACATATTAATATTTTTTATTGTGGTAAATATGAATCAAAGAAACTCTTATAAAATTCTTTCAATATCATATTGTCCTACGACATGTCTCAAACGGTCCACAGAAATTTTTGTATTAATTTAACATAACATGGATATGTTAAATGGAGACACAAATATTGTGTTAATATTTTAACACAAAATAAATGCAAAACTTCAAGTAATTAAAAACTAACTAAAAGTATGTTAATTTTAGATTTTATCATCCCCATTTATAAAATAAAAAATCAAAATTATTTTCTATAAATTTTACCAGATAAATCTTGTCACTAATAAAACGGAACATACTATATATCGTATAAAAATAGATAGATGCACACTATGTTATTTTTACATCTGTTTTCAGTCGTTTCAATAATTTAACATTTAAGTTGAATTAACACAACAGCAATAATATATTAAACGAACACATAAATGTGTCAAATATTTAACAGAAAAATTTGATCGTTTACTTTTTGATTTCAAGAAATTGGAAGCGTTATTACTCTGAAGAAGAAAACGGAAATTTTCCTACCGCGTGCGTCGTTACCTACCTCGTCGATGCGGTATGGCGGAGGTCGATTGGCAAGCCTCGTTGGCGCTCTGGTGCAGAGCCGAGTCCGAGTTCGTTCTGCGCCAGGTGTCCGGTGGCGGCGGCGACAGGTAAGGAACGCCGCTGTACGGCGACGTGTCGTGTCTCTTCTCCATCGGCCGGGACCGCATCGGTCCCACCCCCATGCTCCGGCTCCTGTTGTCGCTACGGTACACCATGGAGTTGTGCTGCATCTCCTCCAGGTTGCTGAGCGCCGTCTGCAAACATGAGGAGGATGTGGGATCTCCTTAGAGAATCTCTCGATCGACATTACGGCGGCGCGAAAGCGTGCAAAAAATTGATATATATATATACGTATTTAATGTCTATAATAGCGACAAAACATTTATAAATCGTGCGGTAGCAGAAAGTACAATATATGCATGCGTTTTTTATTTATGCGTTTCTCGAAATATTTTTATGCAATTGATTTGCATAAGTCGAATTATTTACACACCCACACACGTGTTTCTCACGAGATTTTAGCGCGTCAAAATAATTTCGAATCAATGTTTTATTATAGAAAGAGAGGAGACGATTCGTGAGCTTACAATGAAAATGAATAGAAGAAAGAAAAATAAGTCTGTGAGAGACGATATATGAGCCTGTCAGCGGCCAAATTAATCGACTCCACTTTTTGTAAATTTCTTCATTTTAATATCAGAATCCACTAATCGTGTATATACTCTGATATATTAAAATGGAGTCGATCAGTTTAGCTACCGACTAAGATTCATAATATCGAGACTACGACAATCAAGATCACGAAGGATAATTAATTGGAGCTAAAGGCTATTTCGCTGATCAAATAAAACACCGAGGAATTTTCAGCGAATTTACGGAATCACGAAGCATCAGATTCGCGCGCCTTTGCACGCAAGAGGGAGAGAGGGAGGGAGTCGAAGGGAAATAATTCACTTCTATCTTCGTGCTACGGGGTGGCAAAACCCGTTTTCCGAACCCACCCCCGGCGCCATTCGACCGAAAGGAGGACGAGAGGAATTTTCTCGTTTCGCGAATCCTCATAAAGCGTCTCTCGTCTGTCTGCTTTACGATCCCGTCGACGCGCGAGGTTGCCCGTTTACGGGCGGCGATTAAAATGACGTAAAAGAAATTTAACGCAGCTATTTCATGCCGCGATGCCATAGAAATCTCGCTAAGCGTCGAGTGTCTCACTTGAGAAAATTCATTACGCGACGGAGAAGAGATTCGTCGCTTCGCGTCGACGGACCAATTTTATTTCGCGCTATATCCCTTCTCCTTTCCACTTTACGTGCCTGTATGTATATATATATATATATATATGGTGAAATTATATGCCGGAGTAATCTACGGAATATATACACACAACTCACCATCTCTCACGCTTTTCGTCACGGTTATTTTTGCGTGTGTGTGAAGTTGGCGTATCATTTTGCGGAAACTCATTATATTTTGAGAGTTCTGACTTCCTTTTTAATAGTTCTAGAGTTCCTGATAGGTAAAACACATAGTTCTGCTCGTTAAAGCCAAAAAATTGCTTAGTGCAAAGTGAGACGCCAACTTCACGCAGCGTCTCACTTTGTCCTACGACATTTTCCGTATCAGAAATGATCAGAAATGAAAAGATCTATAGTTCTACATGAGTTCTAAGAAGAGTTCTACCTTCTAAAAGCAGAAAATATTAATTAAACCAAAATTAAGATAATCGGATACCTGTATCTATAGATGTCGAAGGGAGACGCCAGTCAATTTTTAACAGTTCTGCTTATTATAAAGTAGTTCTCGTATAGTTCTGGGTATGTACGATGAATTTCCAAAGAGTTCTGATAATTAAAACTCTTACAAATTATTTTAATTAATTATTTCACCCGAAAAACGTCTATTTTCGACACTAAAGGTGAGACGCCAGTCGATTTTCGAGAGTTCTGTTTTTTCTAAAACAGTTTTCGTATAGTATTAGACATGTATATTGAGTTTCCAAAGAGTTCTGATAATTAAAACACTTACAAATTATTTTAATTAATTATTTTACCCGAAAAACGTCTAATTTCGACTGTAAAGGTGAGACGCCAGTTGATTTTCGACAGTTCTGATTATTATAAAGTAGTTCTCGTATAGTATTTGTCATGTACAATGAGTTTCCAAAGAGTTCTGATAATTGAAACTCTTACAAATTATTTTAATTAATTATTTTACCCGAAAAACGCCTATTTTCGACACTAAAGGTGAGACGCCAGTCGATTTTCGAGAGTTCTGTTTTTTCTAAAACAGTTCTCGTATAGTATTAGACATGTACAATGAGTTTCCAAAGAGTTCTGATAATTAAAACTCTTACAAATTATTTTAATTAATTATTTTACCCGAAAAACGCCTATTTTCCACTCTAAAGGTGAGACGCCAGTCGATTTTCGAGAGTTCTGTTTTTTCTAAAACAGTTCTCGTATAGTATTTGTCATGTACAATGAGTTTCCAAAGAGTTCTGATAATTGAAACTCTTACAAATTATTTTAATTAATTATTTTACCCGAAAAACGCCTATTTTCCACTCTAAAGGTGAGACGCCAGTCGATTTTCGAGAGTTTTTTTTTTTTTAAACTGTTCCCGTATAGTATTTTTCATGTACAATGAGTTTCCAAAGGGTTCTGATAATTAAAACTCTTACAAATTATTTAATTAATTATTTCACCCGAAAACGCCTATTTTCCACTCTAAAGGTGAGACGCCAGTCGATTTTCGAGAGTTCTGTTTTTTCTAAAACAGTTCTCGTATAGTATTTGTCATGTACAATGAGTTTCCAAAGAGTTCTGATAATTGAAACTCTTACAAATTATTTTAATTAATTATTTCACCCGAAAAACGTCTATTTTCGACACTAAAGGTGAGACGCCAGTCGATTTTCGAGAGTTCTGTTTTTTCTAAAACAGTTCTCGTATAGTATTAGACATGTATATTGAGTTTCCAAAGAGTTCTGATAATTAAAACACTTACAAATTATTTTAATTAATTATTTTAATTAGACCTTTAGTGTCGAAAATAGGCGTTTTTCGGGTAAAATAATTAATTAAAATAATTTGTAAGAGTTTTAATTATCAGAACTCTTTGGAAACTCATTGTACATGACAAATACTATACGAGAACTGTTTTAGAAAAAACAGAACTCTCGAAAATCGACTGGCGTCTCACCTTTAGAGTGGAAAATAGGCGTTTTTCGGGTAAAATAATTAATTAAAATAATTTGTAAGAGTTTCAATTATCAGAACTCTTTGGAAACTCATTGTACATGACAAATACTATACGAGAACTGTTTTAGAAAAAACAGAACTCTCGAAAATCGACTGGCGTCTCACCTTTAATGTCGAAAATAGGCGTTTTTCGGGTAAAATAATTAATTAAAATAATTTGTAAGAGTTTTAATTATCAGAACTCTTTGGAAACTCATTGTACATGTCTAATACTATACGAGAACTGTTTTAGAAAAAACAGAACTCTCGAAAATCGACTGGCGTCTCACCTTTAGAGTGGAAAATAGGCGTTTTTCGGGTAAAATAATTAATTAAAATAATTTGTAAGAGTTTCAATTATCAGAACTCTTTGGAAACTCATTGTACATGACAAATACTATACGAGAACTGTTTTAGAAAAAACAGAACTCTCGAAAATCGACTGGCGTCTCACCTTTAATGTCGAAAATAGGCGTTTTTCGGGTAAAATAATTAATTAAAATAATTTGTAAGAGTTTTAATTATCAGAACTCTTTGGAAACTCATTGTACATGTCTAATACTATACGAGAACTGTTTTAGAAAAAACAGAACTCTCGAAAATCGACTGGCGTCTCACCTTTAGTGTCGAAAATAGGCGTTTTTCGGGTAAAATAATTAATTAAAATAATTTGTAAGAGTTTCAATTATCAGAACTCTTTGGAAACTCATTGTACATGACAAATACTATACGAGAACTACTTTATAATAATCAGAACTGTCGAAAATCAACTGGCGTCTCACCTTTACAGTCGAAATTAGACGTTTTTCGGGTAAAATAATTAATTAAAATAATTTGTAAGTGTTTTAATTATCAGAACTCTTTGGAAACTCAATATACATGTCTAATACTATACGAGAACTGTTTTAGAAAAAACAGAACTCTCGAAAATCGACTGGCGTCTCACCTTTAGAGTGGAAAATAGGCGTTTTTCGGGTAAAATAATTAATTAAAATAATTTGTAAGAGTTTTAATTATCAGAACTCTTTGGAAACTCATTGTACATGACAAATACTATACGAGAACTGTTTTAGAAAAAACAGAACTCTCGAAAATCGACTGGCGTCTCACCTTTAGAGTGGAAAATAGGCGTTTTTCGGGTAAAATAATTAATTAAAATAATTTGTAAGAGTTTTAATTATCAGAACTCTTTGGAAACTCATTGTACATGTCTAATACTATACGAGAACTGTTTTAGAAAAAACAGAACTCTCGAAAATCGACTGGCGTCTCACCTTTAGAGTGGAAAATAGGCGTTTTTCGGGTAAAATAATTAATTAAAATAATTTGTAAGAGTTTTAATTATCAGAACTCTTTGGAAACTCATTGTACATGACAAATACTATACGAGAACTACTTTATAATAATCAGAACTGTCGAAAATCAACTGGCGTCTCACCTTTATAGTCGAAATTAGACGTTTTTCGGGTAAAATAATTAATTAAAATAATTTGTAAGTGTTTTAATTATCAGAACTCTTTGGAAACTCAATATACATGTCTAATACTATACGAGAACTGTTTTAGAAAAAACAGAACTCTCGAAAATCGACTGGCGTCTCACCTTTAGTGTCGAAAATAGACGTTTTTCGGGTGAAATAATTAATTAAAATAATTTGTAAGAGTTTTAATTATCAGAACTCTTTGGAAATTCATCGTACATACCCAGAACTATACGAGAACTACTTTATAATAAGCAGAACTGTTAAAAATTGACTGGCGTCTCCCTTCGACATCTATAGATACAGGTATCCGATTATCTTAATTTTGGTTTAATTAATATTTTCTGCTTTTAGAAGGTAGAACTCTTCTTAGAACTCATGTAGAACTATAGATCTTTTCATTTCTGATCATTTCTGATACGGAAAATGTCGTAGGACAAAGTGAGACGCTGCGTGAAGTTGGCGTCTCACTTTGCACTAAGCAATTTTTTGGCTTTAACGAGCAGAACTATGTGTTTTACCTATCAGGAACTCTAGAACTATTAAAAAGGAAGTCAGAACTCTCAAAATATAATGAGTTTCCGCAAAATGATACGCCAACTTCACACACACTATTTTTGCCACGCATTTTGATTATCAAGTTATAAGCAAACACAGTTGCGACCAGTCTTCCTTTACTTTTACGCGTCTCGTGTCGTTTCAGACACAAAA